GCAGAAGTCTTCATGGTTTCACATCAGGCCCAGGTCCCTGTGCTGGGATCAGGAGGGAGAGGGGCCCTGGCCAGCTGGATCCGTGCAGGCCAGCTTCTCACCCTCCTCCTTGCTTTGCGTGAGAGCGACACCTTGGTGCACATTCTAGAAGGGGTGACTGGGAACGTCTGACTGGGAACTCTGGCTCAGCAACGGATTATCCTGACATCACACAGGTGATCAGCCTGTGTGGCACATTCTGTTGTCACTAGGTGGGCAACAGGGCCTGGCCCAAGGGAGTCTAAGGCACTGTGGTCCACGAGGCATTTGTGGATTCGACGCCACAAAGGGCCTCAAGCACCTAAAACCATGTTTTTTTTAGATAAAGTAATTTGTTGTCAACAGAGGCGATATATACAATGGAAGATGGTGAACAGGAGGGTGGGAGTGAGCGGGGTCCCCATGGGCTTCTTTGGCTCCCTGGTCTAGGAGCTTGAACAGGTGGGGGAGAGAACGGACAGGTGGTTGCTGGAGGGGGTGGGGGGAATGGAATCGGTGAAGGAGGATGAAGAGGTTTCAACTTCCAGTTATAAGGTAAATAAGCGATGGGGATGAAAAGTACAGCATAGGGAAAATAGTCCATGTTGTTGTAATAACTGTGTGAGCAGGTGGTAACTACGTTTATAACGGGGTCATGTCGCGATGTATAAAAATGTCAAATCGCCATGTTGTACGCTTGAAACTGATGTGATACTGTATGTCAACTATACTGCAGTTTTTCTAAGTTTATTTATTTATTTTGAGAGAGATGGGGGGAGAGAGAGAATCGCGAGCAGGCTCCATGCTGTCAGCACAGAGCCTGACTCAGGGCTCGAACCCATGAACTGTGAGGTCATGACCTGAGCTGAAATCAAGAGTCAGAAGCTTAACCAACTGAGACATACAGGTGCCCCAACTACACTGCAGTTTTTAAAAATTGAGGGGAAAAAAATAAAATAAATATTGAGGAAAAAAGAAAAGAAAAGAAAGAAGGAGCCAGTAACCCTGCAGTGAGGGCCTGTTAAAATTCTAAGCTAGAGAGAATTTCTTTCTCTCCCTCCTTCCCTCCCCTGCCCCTCTGAAGCTCCAGAGTTGGAGTCCCAGGCTTGTTATTTATCATCTTGTTAATTGGGTCAAGTGGCATCTTTGCACTCATTTTGTCCATCATGGGACAGCTGCCCTGCGGAAGATCTCACACCCAAGGCTGGGATGCTTGAGTATGCCTGGCCCAGAGGGGGAGCCGGCACACAGTAGGTGCTGCTCATCTAGGGGAGCCGCCTGGCACACAGTAGGTGCTGCCTGGCCCAGAGGGGAGCCGCCTGGCACACAGTAGGTGCTGCCTGGCCCAGGGGAGCCGCTCAAGCACACAGTAGGTGCCGGCTCATTCAGGAGAGGGAGCCATAATATTGTAGGTGCTGCCCGGTCCAGAGGGGAGCTTCGCCTGGCAACATTGTAGGTGCTGCTCGGCCCAGGGGAGCCGCCTGGCACACAGTAGGCGCTGCCCGTCCGAGGGGGATTTCGCCCGGGCACACAGTAGGTGCCGCGCCCAGAGGGAGCCGCCCGGCACACAGTAGGTGCTGGCCCAGGGGGGGAGCTGCCTGGCACATTGTGTAGGTGCTGCCTGTTCAGGAGGGGAGCCGCCTGGCACACAGTAGGTGCTGCCTGCCCCAGAGGGGAGCCGCCTGGCACACAGTAGGTGCTGCCTGGCCCAGGAGGGGAGCCGCCTGGCACACAGTAGGTGCTGCCTGGCCCAGAGGGGAGCCGCCTGGCACACAGTAGGTGCTGCCTGGCCCAGAGGGGAGCCACCTGGCACACAGCAGGTACTCTCTGTTGCCCAAATGCCCTTGAGGAAGTCATATGAGCTGTCTGGCTCAGTTACTCATCTGAAACATAGGAATGAGAAACCCATCCGATCGTTTTGCTACAGCATTTTATCCATCAGTTCTGGAAGTCTTGATTAAGCACTTCCCGGGAGCTGGAAACTGGCTGCAGGTGATGGGGGTGTGGGGCTTCATGTGACAGGCACAGCCCTGTTCACACAGAGCTTCTATCTCAGGGGGAAAAAAACAACACATTAAAACGTTAGCATGTAAAAAATACGAGGGAAACCACAATGAGAGAGCACCTCACACTTGTCAGAAGGGATGTTGAAAAGATTTGAAATAACACGTGCTGGTGAGGGGGAGGAGAAAGGAGCCTTTGTGTGCTGTTGGTGGGAATGTGAATTGGTGCAGACACGTGGAAAACAGCGTTCCTCAGAACATTACAAATAGAACTCCCCTATGATCCGCCAATCCCAGCTCTGGAAATGTATCCAAAGGAAGTGAAATTGCCTCCTGGAAAGGATACCTGCACCCTCATGTTCGTTGCACCATTATTTACAGAAGCCAAGACGTGGAGACAACGTAACTGTCCGCGTCCACGTGTGGATGGAGGGGTAAAAGGTGGTAGTGTAGACGTACAATGGAGTATAAGAAACCGAGGAAATCCTACCTTTGCAACAACGTGGATGGGCCTTGAGGGCATTATGCTGAAGGAAATTGGCATAGATGGGCATATGGGGCGGTGTTCCCCAAGAAGAGGGTTTAGGGGCGGGAGTGGGTGGGTGGAGGGATTGGCTGGAAACGAGGAAGTGTGGGTAGAGGGTTGGATGGTGAGCCCAGCACATGGTAATGGTCTCATGAGAAGCCAGAGGCTGGAGGGGCTGGGCAGCTGGTTCGTGGTCAGCTACGCGGAGAAGGAATGGCAGCCCCTGAAGCCCCGTCAGCTTCGTTCTCCAGGTGTGGGGCAGCAGGTGCAGCAGAGCCCGGGCTGTGGGTGGGGGAGAACCACAGCTGTGGAGGAGCACAGACCCCTCCACATGCCCCCCCCCCCCCAGGCTGGCCTCTCTGGCTGCAGACCCCTAGGGGCGGTGGCAGTCTGTGATGGGACGTGCAGCCCCAGCGGGTGCCCTGGACAGAAGGAGGGCACGTGGGCAGGGGCCCCACCGTGTCCTCCGGCCTCAGCTCATCTCTAGTTACAGCTCTGCCTTGGCCAGCTGCATTAGTCCAGGGGGAGGTGGAAAGGCCGCCCAGCGGTTCCTCCTGGACATCTGGCTGTGATTTCCCACCAGCCTCACCAAAGCTCTCCCCCCGCCGCAGGAATGAAGCCAGTGGCCATTCTCAGAACCCACCTCCAGCAGTGCTGGGGGAGAGGCCGCGAACAAATGAGCAGCTGGGCCGGCCAGGTCCCCCTCTGCCCCCAGGACCCAGTGAATGGGCCCCGGCCTTGCCGTCTGCTCCCATAAGGTGTTCGGTGCCTGGCAAGGTAGAGGACTGAACCAGGATACCCTGCCCTTCCCTGGGGATTGCCTGGGTCACATGCTCTGATTGTGGGGACATGACCCTGAGCCTGGACACATGGGTCTGATCCCAGGCCACATGCTAATGGAGGGAATGTGGCTGTAACTAGAGAAAAAGAAATCGCACCTTATCTTGTTTGCCCATCTCTGCTGAGAACCACAGAATGTCCCTGTGGGGAGGCATTTGGGGCTCATTCTGCCTGCCCTGTGCTTTCCCGGGACCGCATGGGGAGGTGCTGTGTCCCGGCCACGGAGTGACTTAGGGTCAACTCTGCTGCCAGAACCCGGGCCTTCTTCACACCCTGTCTCTTACCTCCTCCCCTTTCCTACGGGGACTCTTGTCTCCTCTCCTTGGGGCAGAGTGAAATATCTTGTGAGAACCCCCCTGGATTTATGTGATACGTTTGCATCTTTCTGCTCCATTGTTTTTATGTTTCTGTCTGCTCAGAATCCCTGGAGGGAAGGAGGAGGCTCTGTTTCCTTACCTGTGGTCTACACAGCAGCCTGTTATGTAAGATCTGCACCTTGTAAGGCAGCCCTTGGGGTGCCCCTCCTCCTCGGGTCTCACGGGAGCCCAGAGTTGTGGGTGACTGTCAGCAGACTGGGCATGGGTGACGGTCCTCCCAGAACCAGGTCACACGGTGAGAATGGGCAGGAGGGAAAGGCAGATTGCCGCTTGGTGGAGACGGTGGTGGGCTGAGTGCTGAGCTGGCTGCTTCCTGTACTTGCTCACGAATCCCTCTGGGGACCCTGAAGGGTGGGCGTCCAGAGCGTGGACCCATTTCTGGAATCGAGAAAACTAGCCTCGGAGGCTGTAAAGACAGAGGGTGCCGTGCACTAAGGCAGCCGCTCACTCCCTGCAAAGGAGCCAACAGTACAGAGACAGCCACGAGGAAGCGTAAGGAGGTGTTTGCTCGGGTGGGACGGACAAAATTGCCCCCAGGCAGCGAATTTGGGTCAGAGGTTTTGCATCAAAGTCAGAAGGCAAAGCTTTGGGGAGAAAAGTTCCGCATTAGAAGCCGGATGCCATCATCCTCAGGACCAGCTTTCCCGTAGAACACACTTCCCGGCTGCTGGTGTTTCCTGGGTTTGGCCTCAGAGGACCTTTGAGGGGTGGGAGGGGGGCTGTGGCCGTGCACCAGGCGTGGTGGAGGGAGGTTCGGGTGGGGTGGCACCGGGGGGCATTTGTTGGCGTCAGATTCCTCCCTGTAAGACCAGAGTCCTGAACCGTAGGGTCATCCTATAGGCCCTTTCCTGATCCTCAGTTCTGGCTGCTGGTGTTGTGCTGTAAGAATACTGGTTCTAGAAGTCTCTCCATTTCCCCTGGCAGTCCAGCTCAGCCGCTGACCTTTCCTGCCTTGTGCGTCTTCCCCTGCCAGACTTTGGGGTGCGCTGGGCAGATTGCATGGGGTGTGCATTTCAACCAGGCCCAAGTCTGCCTCCTGTCTCTGCCACTCACCGCAAGGTGACTTAGACAGACCGGGGAGTCTCTGTGAGTGAGCCCCAGTGCCAGCTGCAAACTGGGAGAGGCCAACCCACCGGAAGGCTGTGGAGAGACTTAAGTGAAATCTGCTGGATGGTGGGCTTCAGGAGGGCACGGACTTTTGCCCTTTCTGTTCCCTGTGGTCTCCCTGGCATCCAGGCAGTGATCATGTCCCTGCCGTGGTGGACACTCGGGAATCATTGATTCATGTCCTGCTCTACTCCCTAATGGTTAACGTCCCAGGAGAACACGAGTGTCTGAGTGAGCCCCTGCCCACCGCTGGCCACAGACCCCACATTGCTGATCCCTGCCCCCACCTGTCCTGTGAGCATCTGATGGATTCTGCTCATTTAAGGGCTTCTTGAGGGTCCCCAGAGCCCTTGTTGGACAGACAGATCACTTGAGCCACGATGGTCCGCAGCCTGCCGTGGCCCAAAGATGGGGGTAGTGGGGGTCAGACAGACCTGGATTTGGATTTTGCATCCCTGATGCTGAGCTCTGTGACCTGGGGACGAGTTGCTGAGTCTTCTGAGCTCACAGGGGGTCACTCTCCTGCTGCTTCGACCTGCTTTCCTCCAGCTCACCCTTCAAGTCTCAGTGGAGGCGTCCCCGACCCTCCAACCAGCTTGGGGCCCGCTGTGTTCATCCCGGCCTCGCCTTACAGCTTCCCACTGGCTCTCATCACCTGCTGGAGATGTCAGTGCCTTATTTGGCCAATTTCCATCTTGTCCACTGGCCAGCGCCTCCCTAGGACAGCACATTTGTCATTGGGCCCATTATACCCTGGAGCAGCTCCGTGCCAGGTACATAGTAGGCATTCATTAAACGTGGGATGAAGGAAAGAAAGTTTGCACTTAGGTTTGATACCTCTCAGATGCCAGCTGAGCCTGCTGGGCCAAAGTGGCCAGGACCCATGTGGCACCTGGGTGCTGGCCGAGGGCTCTGATGCCCTTCCGAGTTCCCATGGCACCGCATCTCCTGCCCCCAACTAGAGGAGGTCCTCGGGGCCTGTGCTGACACCTGCTGGTGTCCAGCCCATAGGCACCCCCGAGGGAAGGGAGTTCCCAGGAAACCAGGGACCTCTGAAATCCCACCCTTCTTGGGCAGCCGCACTCTTATGCTAACTACATCACCTACTACCTGGACTCAGTCACCCACTCTTAACTCCCCGGCACACATCTCTTCATTGGCCTGAATTGCAAGCCCTGCCTTGGGTCCCCAGGCTTTCCTGAGCTGGCGTCTTCCTACCTTCCTGTCTCCTCGAACCACTCAGCGCAGGGCTTGGTCCCCCTCCCCACCCCAGGGCAAGCCAAGCCCCTTCCTCCTCAGGGCTCTGTGCCCCTTGCTGCTGTCTGCTGCCTGTTTGCTCTTGCTGTGGCTGGCTTGTGCCCTTCTTAGCTCTCAACCCAGATGTCACCCAGCCCAGAGGACTTCCCAGACCAGCGTATCCAACGTGCACCCTGGCCCCCACGGCCAGCACCCGGACGTATCCCCTACATATTTCCTCCACAGCACGGAGCATAGCTGATGGCCCGCTGGCTTCTCTGTCTCTGCTGGCCTTCTGCTTCCTCCACTAGGCACGTGACCACCGAGAGGCCAGGGCACGTGTTTGCACTCACTCCTCACGCTGGGAGGTATGTGCCAGGCCCTTGGCAAAAATGTATTGGCTGAATGAATCAATGAATGAATGAATGAACGAGCACTCATTAGGTGCCAGGCACCATGCCAAGAAGTTCCCACTCACTATCCCATTTAAGCTGCAGGATTACCTGTGGTGGGGAGACGCCCCCCACACTTACATCCCTATTTCCAGATCTGGGAGCACGCACGAGGGGCAGCTGACGTCACAGAGGCGAGGTCTGCAGACTCCAGGCCACGTTCCCCATCAGCCGTGGAGAGCACGGTCTCCCTCTGGCCCTGTTTCAGCCTCACCTTACTGCAGAGAGTGAGCACGGGCTGGGGCTGGGAGAGCGGAGGCGGCCTGGTGCGAGGCCCTCTGGCGTTCTCCCGTTCTCCCTGCCGAGGCTGGCAGGTCAGCTGGTGCAGGCCCGGCAGGCCTCCAGGCCTCCCAGGCTCACTTGTGCAAACGGTGCTTACAGCCACCAGCCCTCCTGCCTCCCCTCCCCCAGAGCCTCCTGCTAGCCAGCAACAGTGTCCCAGGGCCCGGCTGAGACCCGCTTTTAAAAAATAGTAGTAATTGGACACCTGGGTGGCTTAGTTGGTTGAGTGTCTGCCTTTGGCTCAGGTCATGATCTCACAGTTTGTGAGTTCGAGCCCCACATTGGGCTGTCTGCTGTGAGTGCCGAGTGTATGCTTCAGACCCTCTGCCCCTCCCCCTCACTCTCTGTCCCTCCCCGCTCATGCTCTCTCTCTCAAAAATAAACAAACCTTAAAAAGATCAAAATAATAGTAACAAAAACCTGAAAAGACTGCACTAGTAAATCACATTAAAATCTTTAAAGCAAATTTGAAAATACAAAGATACAAAGAGGAGACAAAGAATCACTCCCAAGTTCTGCCTCCCGGAGGTAACCACGGCCTAAATATCCTGTGCCCTTCCTGACGCCCCAGTATGTGTGTCTGTGGGAGCCAGCGAGAGGGTGCTGGCGTCACACCAAGTTGAACCCTCTTTCTGCAAATGAGCTGCCTGATTGAAGTGGGTCGTCTCGGCTGTCCTAGCCTCAGTTCTCTCATCTGCAAGATGGGCTTGATGAGCAGCACTGATTGGTGCCAGACGGGACGCCTCAGTCAGCAGCCAACGCAAAACCCCGCCTGTGGGAGCTGTGATCCCAGCTTACGTGCTCACGACTCCCGCAGGACCTACTCCCTCCACGCCTGCAGGCGGTCTGGATGATGGAAACGCTGGGGATTTGCGGGACGTCAGCTGCACAGGACTGGAGAGTAGGAGCTCACAGGCTGCAGCGTCTAAGTAGCTTCTGTGAGAGAGAACGGGCCCCTGTTTGGGGCTGGTAGCCATCTTGCTGTCTGTGCACTCTGGGGTCCCCAGTACCCAGCTCGGAGCCTGCTGTAAAGGGTCACAAGCGGACAGGTGCACGGGCAGAATTTAGCCAGCACCTGGATCCTATAGGTGCAGGGTAAGGAGGCCCGTCTACAACAAGTCGGGGCCCTTCGTGAGTGGAAGGTGCTGCCTCCAGAGGTAGGAGCCGGCCGTCTGTCTGTGCAGGCTTTGGAGACGGACGAACTTGGGTCCCCGTCAGCTGGGTGACTTAAGCAGGTGACTTTCGGAAAGACTGCGTGGTGCGTGGTCGGGAGCCAGATGCTGGATTCATCGAGCCGCCTGCATTGTTCGGGGGCTCTGCGGCCTTGGACCATCCATTTACTAACTTCTTTAGGCCTTCCTTTCCCCATCTGTAGATATTAGCACTTGCCCCTTGAAGCTGAAGGAGAAGTGGATTCACTGTGTTAATGTGTTCAACATGCTCAGGATGGTGTCTGGTGCCCAGCAGCCTCTACACGTGACCGTCTGCTGATCACGGAGACCCCGCTGCCCCCAGCAGAGCGGAAACAGTCTGCACGCCCAGTGCCATACTGGACGTGTGGGTCCTCCATCCCCGGGAGCCACTGGCATTGCCGTCATAGTTGCTACTCACGTTGTCCCGGGCCCTGGAGCCTGGTGCAGTGTCAGCTGGCCCTCTAGAGTGAGGGTGACTTCCTGGCTGGCCTCGGAGCAGCGAGGGAGCTGTTCTGTGTGCCTGCTGGTACCTGATTCACCTCCTTCCTCCTCTGCCTCTCCCCCGCCCTCTCGGAATGCCAGCACCTCGTCTGGGGCTGGCTGGACTCCGTAGTGGTCACTGCAAAGTGCTGGGTGACTTGAACGCTTCCTGTCTGTTGCTCACCGAGACCTCGGGCTCTGCTCCCTCTTCTGTGGTCCTGCTGACTTGCCTTGACTGCAGCCACCGTCTCTTCTCCTAGATTCTAGACGTAGATTGACCTTTATTTCACATCCGGGTTCTCCTCTCATCCTGGGGAGTTCCTTAACTTTTAGCCTCTGTTTTTAAATCTGTGTGATGGGGGGGAAAATCTATCCCCTAGAGTGGTTGTTGGGGGTAAAATCTCCAGCTGGGAGATTGGCACACAGTAGGCAGTCAATAGTTGCCGGCACTCTCTTTTCCCAGACGAAGACACTCTTGGCTGAGAGCCTGGGGATGGCATGGCTGTGTGTTCTCTAGACGGAAGTGTGGGCATGTCAGCGCAAAGCGGAAGGGCATCCTGTGCGAGCACACTTTCCTCTTCTGCCATGTGGTAAACTGAGAACAGCTGATGTGTTTTTCCACAGAAACTACAGTGAATTCCTGTTTTTTTCCCTCTGGAAGAGCAGCTCTGGTCAATCAGCAGCTGGCCTCTCTTGAAAGCTTCTGGGGGAAATAGAAGTGGTTCTGTGGGCAGGGAGATCTTTTTCCTCTCCAGAAGTCTAGAATATTCTACCTACCCAAAGACCAAGGAAGAATGACCATAAATCAGCTCCCAGGGAGAAGGTCTTTGTGATCAGTCATATTCTTGCTCTTTCAAAAAGGAAAATTGACCAAGTAACCAAGAACTAAGTACACATGTTGGACCCTGAGGACTTACCCCATCCTTAATTCCAGAACGGCTTCTCAGGTTGATACTGAATGATTTCCAGGTACACCCATATTTACTGGGATAGTGAAGATAATCCAGTCTGTCTGTGGCTCCTTTACCAGGAAAGTAATGTACCTGTTCTTACCACCCTCTTGAGTTGTCCTTGGGCATCTGGAAAGAGAGGCAGCTTCCAAATCCTGGAGCCTGGCAAATCAGTGCAGCTCCCAAAAAAGGGAATGTGTGCAGGTTTGGGATGTGCTCAACTGCAAAAAAAAACAACAAAACAAACCGGTCCTGTGGCTCAAATGGAAGTGTGTTTTTCTTACCCACTTCACCCAGCCTTGGATTGCTGCTGTTGGAAGTCCCTGTCTCCTCAGTTGTCCTTGGAAGTCCTGCAGACATTATATCCCACCATCTAAGGAGGAGGGAGAGTCACCTTGCCAAGTGCATCTCCCTGTCTGTCCCGTTTCATCAGGAAAAGCAAAGCTTTTTGAGAGGCCACCCCTCTGCCAACCACAGCAAACTTCGGTTACTTATTTTCTCGTCCAGACCTGGGTCACATGTGTGTCCCTAGCAGCAAGGGTGGCTAAAAAGGTGGAGGACAGAATAACCTCTGTTGGCTAAGACCGGCCGCCAGCCAGCCACAGCTCTTCTCCTTGGGCTGAAAAGTGCCGTTTGGAGTGAAAGGGGTATACTTTTAGGGAACAGGTAGCACGGGTGACAGGGTCTGTCAGCCCTCCATGGCAGGAGCCTGGGTCTGGGACATTTCTCACTTCTCTGCAGCGTCACGACGGAGCCCGTGCCTGGAAGGCCATCCAGTAGTGACTTCTCGGCTTAGCTGTCACTGGTCATTTCCAGCCATCACGAACTCGGGCAGCTCTGACACTTTGTGTCACTCTGTCCCCAGTCACCACAGTCAGCCCATGAGTGCCCTGAGGGCAGGGATGGCAACTTGTCTTTTATCCCATTTGTGGGTCCCTAGAACTAGCTCTGTGCCCGGAACATTTCGGGACCTCAGATATTTTAGTTGAAGTAAATGAGTTGACGTGGAAATAAATAGATCATTATGCAAAGTGTGGAAATATCTTGGCCAAACAGATACAGTTATAGGCTGAGAGGGACTTTGGATGCTGACCCTGTGTTCCTGCCAAGCAGGTGAACCCAGAGGCCCCAGCATCCCTGCAAAGCCTGGCTGGAGGGGGTAATTTGGGAACCATTTGTCCTGACGTACTAAGTAGGCTATAAATTGCCCCTTGATCCTCTCAAATGTATAAGCGTTAGAGATGGCCCCAAAAGGGGATTGGCAGGTGGTTTGGGGAACGAGTCCTTAAAGCGGTTTGGGCAAAAGTTCTAATGTCTTTGAAAAGAGCCTCCGTCTTACCTGTGCTCATGGTCCTTGGACTGTCCTTGCACATCTGGGTTTGGGAATCAGGTCACAACCTCGGGATATTTTCAGAGACAAGGCTCAGTGGCCCTGCCTGCCCCGAGCTCCAGCCATCAGTCTCCAGAGATTTGCTCATAATCAAGGATAGAACCTTCTGAGTCAGTGCATTCGCAGTGACGCATGACCCACAGCCCGTCTCACTGGCAGCCTTCCAAGCAACTGATGGTCACCCCACAGCTGCTGCCGTCCTGGGTGGAGCCGTCTAAATATTGCACGGGGCCTGGATCCTCTCTTGTATTTGGTCCTAGACAGACAGCTTGGTGCTGTTTCCAAAATAACCCCTTCCATGTGGCTCGTCGGACCTCGCGGTGCCTTGTAAGATAAACATGAAAAATACCTCCACCCAAATCGGGGACGATTTCGTGCTTTCCCCTGGCTGCTGATGGTAAAAAGGGCCCCAGACTGGCCCTGCGCTGAAGCACGTGTGCCCTGAATATGAAAAGAGGTCATTGCACACAGAACAGATGGGGGAACGTCTAATGAGGGGAGGTTATAATAGTGACATGGAGAGGGCAGGGTCTAGGCGAAGGAAAGCAAGATTCCTCAGGTGCTGAATTTGACGGCCACCCTCCCTCATGCCAGTCCTGTGACGAGCTTGAAGTGGCCCAGCCCTCCAGGCAGCCCCGTGCTCATGCGTGATTTATAAGGTCTCCCCGTCAGAAACACTTGCACGGAGACAGAAGTTAAGGGACTTATCCAACATACTGTGCCAGTTGGTCAGGAGCCTGACACTTGAATCAAGGACGTTAAAATTCTAAGTTGGGGGGCACCTGGGTGGCTCAGTCGGTTGAGCGTCCGACTTTGGCTCAGGTTACAATCTCGCGGTTTGTGGGTTCGAGCCCCGCGTCGGGCTATGTGCTGACAGCTCAGAGCTGGGAGCCTGCTTCCGATTCTGTGTCTCCCTCTCTTTCTGCCTCTCCCCCTCTCGTGCTCTGTCTCTGTCTCAAAAAAAAAATAAACATTAAAAAAAAATTTTTAAACGCTAAGTTGGTGCTCTTTCTGAGATTTTTAGGGCAACTGAGTTTCTGTCTCTTCCAGTTTTTTTAAGTGAAGAATCATGAAGACCTTAATATGAGACATTAACGTAATATCCTATAATGAAGTTTTGCTTTTATTTTCTTCTGTAAGACTTACTCTATTGCCTTCGGACAGTTGAGCAGTTTTCTTCTGTTGGAATGGGACCTGAGGCTCCTTGGGGTAGCATCAGGCAACACCTTGCCGGTGGGCCCCCAGCGCACGTTTCCTGCTCTATGGGCACCGCTAACTTGGACTCTGTATGTGTGTGTTCAAGGCTTTATAAATGTTCCCTCTGCTGATGCCACTCTCGGGCTTTCGTCTGTCTGGCTAGGTCTTAACTGTTCCGTTAAGGAAACCTCGAGAACCACCGTTTCCAGAAGAGCTTTCCTGACCTCCCCAAGCCTGGTGAGGTGTCAGACCTGTGTCCCAGATCCCCCAGCAACCACGCCCGTCCTGTCACTTATTACACTGTGTTGATCATGTCACTTTTGGTGTCTGACTCCCTCTAATGGGGGACTGAGTTCCTTGAGGGTAGGGACCCTCCTTGTTTGTGATTCACCCCCAGTACAGGGCACGGTATTTACAGAATAGGTGCTCCACAAGCACACGCGGGCGTGAACCTGTCAGCCATGTGCGCTGCCCCCGCGTGTGCACCGGGCACTGGCCATCCTCCACGCCGGGAGCTGGGGGCTCCGGGTGCTGTCACCTTCCCCAGAGTGACTGTGGGTGGCATTTGCTCATCCAGCTCTTGTCTTCTCTTGCTTTTCTCAGACGTGCTGTGCCCCAGCGTCCGTGTGCAAGGAGACCGATTTAAGCACACCAATGGCGACAGCAAGGAAATCACAGGTAAGAGAGAGACCGCCGGCTCGCCGTGCCACCCTGAGCTGGCCCTGAGCGCAGTCCTCCTTGACGCAGGGCTGGCCTCACCAACCTCTCTGCTGAAGCCTAATGGAAGGAATCACACAAGCTGGGCAGGCGTCAGCCCCCTCCTGCGGGCTGTCCAGCCGTGAGCAGCCGTCCCGTTTCCATCTGGGAGTCGGTGGTGACCCTACGGGAGCCCCTAAATAATGCATCAGAACGAAAGAGTTGGGGGACGAGTAAGTGAATGATGGGCCAGGCGAGCGAAGGAATGGAGAGATCAGTGCATTCGGAGTGAGAGAGAGAGCCAGAGTTTTTAAATCCGTGAGGGGGTGATAGGAGATAGTGTGCCCCCGGCAGCAGAAATCCCCCTGCGGCGCCCCTTCCCAGGCTGTCCCCGCCTGACGGGGTGCACAGGGGACGTGGCAACGGCTGAGTGGGCTTCCCACCCTCCTGAGAGCCACAAGCGTGGGAGTGGGGTGTGCTCCTCCCTGTGGACCACATCCGGCAAAGCACTCTCTGAGTGACGATCTCAGGGGAGTTTCCTCCACATCCAGGCCGCCAGCCCCGCCAGGTGCAAGGGGGCCAGGCACCCCCTCCTTGTGTGGCTCCGGAGCTGGTCTGCATCCTCCGCTGGGGGCTGGGAGGGGTCAGAACCAGGCGCTTCACAGGAGCTGTCCCAGCGACACTATCCTGGGACGCTGCTGAGTCAGGGTGCCCCCGTCCACCAGAAGAAGCTAGCATCTGCGTGTTCGTGCTCGAGGGACGTTTCTAGAATAGGTAGAAGACGGCCCTGCCTGCTCGCACAGCAGGTGAAATGTGTCCCAGAGTGACTCAGCCCTCAGGCAGTGTCTTGGGGGAAGAAACAGCCCGGCTTTAGTGCCCCTCATTCCAAGGTCCATGTTTGACCCAATTCCTGGCGGTTCCCAGTGGGTTCCAGCTGCAGTCACCTGCCGGGGTGGCCCGCTTAGTGCTACACGCTTCCCCCACTCCTCTTCCTCCCTGTCCCCGGTCCCCACTCCCCCATCAAGCGCCTCTGGAAGGAAGACGGCTTTAGTCTCCTGGTGCCTGGTGCCCGGGTGCCGCTGGTGTTCAGTGAGCAGCCGTCCCTCCCAGGGCCCTCTGTCAACCCAGGAGATAACGATGGCTCTCCTCCTCTTTGCTTTCATAACCCTAATCCCTTGCAGGGAATATATCCACAGCTGCCTTGCTCTGCCCAGGCTGGCACGAAGCTTCTGGGCAGTTTGACGTCAGTGTTCCCGCTTGCTGCCTTGGCAATCCCCATCTGTGCACTGAAGTCCGTGTTGAAGGCAGATTCCTACCTGCTGCATTCTCCGTGTTTGACTTTGTGAGCAGGGAATCCCTCACAGCAGGATCTGGCCGAAATCATTCACGATCTGGTGTGTGTGTGTGTGTGTGTGCGCGCGTGTGTGTCCCTAGAAGGGAACAGATGTGACAAGAGGGACGTTAATAACAATAATGGTGAAAATCGAGCTCACTGAGCTTCTACAGTGTGTCAAGCACTTTGCACATGTGCTCTCGTTCAACCCTTGTGATACACGAGAGAGGCACTGTTTTGTGTTTTGTAGTTGGGGAAACTGAGGCACAGGTGCGTTCAGGCAGGCAGACCGTGGGAAGGAAGGAAAGGAGAGAGGAAGGAAGAAGTCACAGATGAATTAGCGAATCTGCCTGTGTCACTGCAAGTCAGATGGGCTTGCCTGCCGTCCTGTTTCGTTCTGTGGAAAAGAGCCCAACCGTGTTTTCTGCTGATGCTTTTTTAAAAAATTCTTAATGCATATTTATTATTTTTGAGAGAGAAAGAGAGAGAGTGTGAGCAGGGGATGGGCAGAGAGAGAAAGAGAGAGGGAGACACAGAATCCAAAGCAGGCTCCAGGCTCCGAGCTGTCAGCACAGAGCCCGATGTGGGGCTTGAACCCACAAACCGTGAGATCATGTCCTGAGTCGAAGTCGGATGCTTAACCGACTGAGCCACCCAGGCGCCCCAAGAATAATTGATTCTTGCTGGGAAGAGTCACTGTGTGTGTGTGTGTGTGTGTGTCCGGGGAACACGTGTGCACACCTGTGTGGGAACAAATTCTTCAGCCTCTGGTATATGAGGAGCATCCTGCTGACAGTCTGTTTGGTGACTGAAGAGAAGCGGGCACTCTGTTCGGAATCCGCAGCATCTGTCTGCAGCCGTTGGAACCTTCCTGAAATCTCCCCTCCCCCTCTGCAGGCTCCGAGGCTCCCAGGAGGTGAATCGTAGCCTAGGCAGGCACCCGTCACACGCGGCACCCATGCCCTGTTGGTGCAGTGCTGTGCACACGGAGATCCTACTGGGTCTGTCCGGAAGCCCCGCCATGTGGAAGCTGGATGGGGTTATGGAGAGAGGAGTCTCAGACCTGCCAGTTAAATACAGTTGGGTAATTGGAATCATTTGTCCTTTGGGAAAAAAATGGGGTTCCTAAAAGCCTCAGTTCCAGACACCCCCTCAGATGACTCTGGCAGGTTTTAGGGCTTACCAGGCCAAAACAGCCAGGAAGGGGAGAGGGCAGGCAAGGCGGTTGGAGGTTTTGGTCTTAGGCTGGTCCTGCTGCTCCCAGACCCCTGGCATCTCTAAGGCCCAGTTTCCCTGCCCGCATAACCTTACGTCCCACGTAGTGTCTCTGAGGGTCCCTCTCGGCACTCATAACTGAATGTTCCGAGAGTTTCATGACTGCGGGTGGAATACAACTTTCCCGGGAGATTGGCTGTTTGCTGCTTAAGAACATGCTAGGTTCGGAGCATCTCTAAAATGTGGCCATGGCATTCTGGATTCTTCTCTCTTCCCACCTGAGCTCCTGCACCCGGATACTCACCGAGGCACCCCCCCTACACCTCTCAAGTGGACCATGGCCCGAGGCCTACCCCCACCCTTGCCCCCCCTTAGCAAGTCTCATCTCCCAGGCCTCCCTTTCCTGTCTCCCCACTGCCAGAATGACCTTCAGAATAGAAACAGGGTTGTGTTTCTTTCTTGCTGTGAAGTCCTTCATGGTTCTCCATTCCCCGCAGAAGGACACTCAGACTTTGCCACGTGGCCGACAGACCCAGCCTGGTCTTCCCCCGCCCACCCCATTCCCAGCCAGTGACTATGGCTCCTGACATCCTGGAATAGCCAAGGTTCTTGGAAGGAACTGGGCTGACTCGGGCCCCCTGACCTTTACACATCCGGTTACCTTGGATGCCCTTTCTTCCCCCTGTGTCTGCCCACCTTTTATTTGTTCTTCAAATCCAGGCTAAGCTTTGCCTCCTCTGGGAGCCCTCCCTGACTGCTCTTCAGGGGGATAAGGGAGAGATATCCCTTGTGTTTCTGCACAAGCCCTGTAGTTCTCCCTTCTAATCATTTACCCACACTACCGACACTGCTTATCTATGCGTCTGCTTCTCTCTAGACACTACATTTTGGGGAGGCTGGGATTTATCCTGTTCATTATTGGGATCTGCACAGCCAACAGGGAATCCTTCTGTCTTTCCACAAAATGTGCCGCAAATAAGAAAACCTGAAGCTCCTGGCTTCCTTAGGGGCAGAAGCATGAACCGGATGAAATTGGTCACAAGCTGGTGAGAAAGCATCCCTAGATGGGCCCTGTGCACCTTGGCCAGACCCACTAAAGACCCAGGAGTGAGCATCGTGCCTGAGGAGTCCAGTAAAGGTCCATTGAGTGCAGACCTTAGAAGGATGGGCGGGGAGCCCGGTGGGCACTGGTGTGGAGCAGGTGCACACAGTTGAGCTGGGCCGTGGCTAACGGTGTTGCTGATGCGACCTGTTTCAGCTGACCCCGTGATTTGGGGGGAGGTGGACCCCTGCAGTTCCTGCACTAAACAATTGCTTCTTTGTCACGCGGTGCCTCGCGTCAGAGTCCATTTACCTCGGGAACGTTTTTTCATTCTCCTTCCCAGCCTTTTCTTCATTGCAGGCAATTCCTCTTTTCTCTCGGTGCTCTTTTGCTACCACTGGGTTAATTGCTTGTTGTTCAAAGCTTCGTCGTGTTTAAGTCTTTGTTTTTATTCCTTGTTTTTATTCATCGAAACCCATAAAAGTGGAACCAGAAAGGAGAGCATATGTTTGCTTTTTCAAAACCTAGAAAAAAACATTCTCCCATGTGTAATGGCTTAAGGGAAGCCCAGCTTACGGTGGCAGTGTCTAGGGACAGTTGACAGAGCTCTAGGGGAGCAGGCCCACTCTGCTGTTCTCACTGTTGAGGGGAAGTCTCTGGGCACGTGTCACCCAGATTGCCAGCACGCTGTCTGAACACAGGCCGCTGCTCCGTGGGAGCCTCCAGGGGCCAGACACCTGCCGAGTGGTGGCCATCCGCCCCACACGGATGAGGCAGAGAGCTGTGAGGGGCTTAGTACCTGCACCCACGTTGTGGAGCCGCAGAGTCTAAGGGCAGGGATAGGGTCCGATGTGTCTGACTGAGATGCTCTCCCTCTCCCACTTTCCTTCCCTTAACTGGGGGCAGCTTCTCTTGAGCGATAACCTGACCCCTCCAGCCCCATCACCTCCCTGCAGGGAGCGCCCCAGGCAGGCAGGACAATCAGAGAGTTTCACAAATGAGAGAGCCCTCACGGACCCACCGGCGCCGGGCCTCTGGGCGTGCCAGGTACAGGCACCTGCTGAGCGCGGCCCTGCCTGCAGGAATGTGCGAGATCCTCGAGGTGGCGGCCTGCGGGGCGGGCCGTTTACCCCGCCTTGGCAGCAGGGGAGACACGAGGACGCAGACCGTGCGCGTGGCCAGTGCTGCACCAGCTTTCGGACCCAGGACGGACTGTCCCCAAAACCTCCTCTGCTTGTTCTGCCTTGCTGGGGCCCAGATGGGCTCTTTACCATTTGGTGTCTAGTCCATGGAACCTGCAGGGCCTTCTTGGCCAGTCACCCCGTCCCCAGGTGGGCCCCCAGCCGCTCCCACTGCCCGGAGCTTCCCAGCCTCTGGGGCACGTCCGGGTACAGGGCCCCAGCACATGCGGCAGACGTTTGTGTCTTCAGAGGGCCTTGCACAGGGGTGGTCAGTTCTGCCAGCTGCTCCCAGCTGGGCCCGCCGGGCCCTCTGCGGTGCGGAGCCCAGAGCGGCAGGGACCCGATGCCTTCTGTCCCCAGGCAATCCTGGAACAGCAGTGCCCAGCCCCTGCTAAGGAGGCCGTGGCCGGGCCTGCGGAAGTGCAGGGTGGGGGGGTGAGAGAGGGGGCCTCTCTCCTTATTCATTCAGCAGGTGTCTCCCAACATCTGCTGCCCTGACCTGCCCCCTGCGGGAGAGGGGCTGCTCCCCACCACATGCCTGGTCCTCTACGACCAGGTGGCAGTCGTGGGGCTCCGGGAGAAGTGGCGGAGCTCTTGCCAGGCTGTGAGGCTCCTGGGGATTTCACAGAGGACGTGGGTCAAAAGGTTCCTTTCCTGGTCCCCAGCAAGGGCTGCTGACACTGACCTAGCAACTCCCAAGCGGCAGCTTCCCTGGGGGTGCTCTGTCGGCTCACCTCACCGAAATGCCACGACAGCCTTGCAAGGGATTACTCACTCCACTTTCCCAGTTAAGGAAACAGACTCAGACAATCTGACAACTTCTTCAAAGCCACCCAAGCGTCTTAGTCCCTTTGGGCATATAAGCAACAGGACTTTGTATCTTCTGGTTCTGGGAACTGGGAAATCAAGACCAAGGCACCTGCAGACGTAGCATCTGGGGAGGGCCTGCCGGCTGGTTTATACATGGCTTTCTTCTCAGTGTCCTCGGGTGGTGGAAGGCAAGGGAGGTCTTAGGATCTCCTTTATAAGAGCAGTGATACCACCCATGGGGCTCCCCACCCTTGTGGCCTCATCATCCCCCAGGTCCCCCACCTTCTAAACCCATCACACTGGGGGTCAGGCTTCAACACAGGAGCTTTGGGGGGACACATTGAGTCCACAGCACTCAGCTGGAAGTCTGCAAGGGGGCAGGGTGTGCCCTGGGCTGTGTGAGGCACTCTGAATGCCTGAGGTGCGTTGTTCCTGGGGTTCACTCCCTGCTTTGACTTGGAGCCCCACCTTACCGGTGGCCTCATCCTTGCTGAAAAACCGGATCTCTGAATTCTCTGGCAGGCAAATGATGCAGTATGATCGGGAGACGGACGGCTCTTTCCGGTCATGGTGAGAATTGGGAAAAGATGATATATAGTAATCAGTGCTGAGAACACAAAAGAAGATCAAATTCCCCCCAGATCTCCCATTTGATCTATGAAAGAACTGATTCCAGGGAGGGGTAAGTGACCCAGCCCCACCCCTGAGCATTTATTCAGAGCTTACTATGGGATAGGAGAGTGATTACCTTCTCATTCAGAGTGAAGAGTCCGTTTATGGCACCTGACATTTAGTGAGCACCTACTATGCACCAGGCATATGCTGACCTACTTTCTCCTTTATTTTTTTAAATGTTTATTTATTTTTGAGACCGAGACAGAGACAGAGTGGGAGCAGGGGAGGGGCAGAGAGAGAGGGAGACACAGAAAGGGAAGCAGGCTCCAGGCTCTGAGCTGTCAGCACTGAGCCCGATGTGGGGCTCGAACTCGCAAACTGCGAGATCGTGACCTGAGCTGAAGTCAGACGCTTAACCGACTGAGCCACCCAGGTGCCTCTTTACTTTCTCCTTTAAAACTCAGGGTGGCCTCCCGCGGTATCACTGCTTGTCATTAGAGCCGGAATGTGTTGTCCACGGGCTCTCTGCCAGACGATGGCTGCTGCACCTGCCCACACCCACTGACTGCATTTCTTGTCCTCATTTGGCAGATGAGGAAATTGAGGCCCAGAGAGGTTGAATAACGTGTCTGAGACTGAGCAGGTAGAAGAAATATGGGAGTAGGGGTTTGAGCCCAAATATTCCCTGTTCTAGAGCCTTCACTGCCCCACACTGCTACTGTCCCAACTGTGCAGAGACACAGAAGATAATGAGCTCAGAAAGGTTAGGATGCATGCTCTAGGTCACACAGCTCTAAGTGGGGCTCAACCCGCAAGTATTTGACCTTCCAGGTGCTGGGTGCTGTGTCTTTATAGTCTGTCCAGGGCAAAGGGCACGTGCCAGCCTAGAGTTGGCTGGAAGTCCAGCGTCATGAGTTTGTGCTATGGGCCAGGCTATCATGGGAAAATAATCGATACAGAAACTACTCTGTGGGCCCCTGTATGGTGGATGCCCTATGAAGAGCTTTGTATCTTATCATTCGAGCTTCAATACAATTCTATGAGGTACATTCTAAAACAACCCCGGTTTTATAGATGATGAGACTGGTGCTCAGAGATGTTAGGCAACCTGCCTAAGGTCACACAGCAAGGACCCTGTGGTCAGGAACACAGTCTAGACCGGCCCAAGTCTGCCACTCTAACTCTCATTCGGTGCTAAACCTTTCCTGTCCCTGCTGTTTCTTACACCAGGCTTGGAGCAGCAGGGTTTAGTGGTACGAGATGGGTATATCATCACCGTACAAGCCCTGTGACCTCACCTCGTGGCAGCACCTTAGAAGGTTGGAGATCCCCCACAGTCGTCCTAAAGTCTCGTGGCTCAGGTGTCGCCCGGACCCAGGGTCGTGTTGGCCCTGGGGATGCAGACAGGAGTGCTCCCACGCGTGCCCTCCATTGGCTTCCCTGAACCTGCATGAGCTTTCCCGTTGCCCGAGGAACAGAGTTTGAGCCAGTAGGCCACGTTGTCACCTTGGTGTGGGCACTGTGCTCAGGCTCCTCTGAGAACCCGCCGTCCTGGCCTGTGGGACTCGAGTCGGGACAGTCGTGTAGGGGACGTGGTAAGGACGTGCTCCTGGTGGTGGGTCCATTGTGAGCGGTTCTCGTGGCCACCCTACGGCCGTGGGTGTCATTGCCCTCCCTTGACGACCAAGTGGCCGGTGCTGTTCAAGTGGCCGACGTCCACATGGCATGTGCCCGAGCTGATCACCCCCTCGCGTCCCCAGCTCCCCCAGCGCTCAGGTCATGACTTTTCCTTTACGTACATCGCCAGGGCACACGAGGTCCTCTCTCAGAGCCAAAACAGAACAGAACAAAACAAAGCGTTTTTTTGCAAAGTGTTCCTGGGGGAGCTTCCTAACACCTGCCCTGGCCGGGCAGCCAGGACACCTCCCATTTCTTTGGAAAACTCGGGTCTGCAGTTTCTCCCGCATGTTCCCGGCAACTGGAAATGGAAGCCGCACATCTCCTTACTTTGTTGTTGTTGTTGTTTTCTCCCCAAATTGTATTGAGCAGTTCCCTCCGCTGACATCCCACGCCCGCTCCCCTCGGGCAGGGTGGGCAGCTCCCTTTGCAGAGCGGTGTTCCCCTCCCTGGTCTCCCGGGCTCCTCCCCTCCACTCACCCCTGCTCTTCTCCTTGACAGGTTTTGACCTGATGGATTTGTTCCGTGTGAAGGAGATCCTGGGGAAGAGAGATAACGGAGTGCAGAGTTCCTATGTCCGGATGGGATCCTTCCCTGTGGTGCAGAGGACAGAGTGAGTGCTCACGTCTCCTTCGGGACTTGCCCTGGATGCCGGCAAAGCGTGGGAAGGGGGCCAGGCAGCTGTGGTTGCACACTGAGCACTGAGAGGGGCTTGAAACTACTCAGCGCCCAGGGGAGGTCACCTGGGGAGGTCGGAGACAAAGCGACCGAGCCACTGCCCTGGGAATGCAACCTGTTTCTTAGCATATCTGTCACCGTTGTTTTTATCGGTTTCTGGGTCCTTCTGTACCCTTCTCTCCATATGGATTTGGCGTTAATCATTCATGCACGCATGTGTGTTTCTGTCAGTTCGTTAAACAACAAACATTTATGGCCGTAGGTAACGTGGGGCCCCCTCTGGACCAGCCACTGGGGTACATGTCAGGCACAGCACCGCCCAGCCTCACGTAGTCGGTTTGGCCACTGGCGCCGCGGTTTCAATGTTTATTGGGTGCCTGGCCTCACACAAGTTATTGGACGCCCCAGTGCCTCAACTGTGTCCTGTTTTCACCAGATGTGAGTGTTTCTGCCCCGCAGAATTGTTGAGAGGATTATAGCACACATTTGTCCGGGGGCTGACACCTGTTGGGTCTCTGGTCAAGGGCTGATGATGATACCAAAGTCAGCGTTCCATTCTGCCCACTTTGAGGCAGACAGATCTTCTGAAAACAGAAGTGATATTTCATCCTGACTCTCCTTCTCCATCCAGCAATTAAAGTTCCTTAATTGCTCCCAAGTGTCCCAAGGGCAAGAAAGGTCCTGTGTGTGATGTGACCCATTCCTACTTTTTTGGCCTCAGCCTTATCCCCTGGCTCCTTGTCTGGCTCCTCTTTCTCTGTTCGGGGAGCTTCTAGGCACCTTCTACCCACCACAGGGCCTTTGTTCATGCTCTTCCTTCTATCTGAGACTTCCTGTTCGTCCTTCAGACCAGTGCTGAACCATGATGCTCTCAAAGATGCCTTTCCTCACCTCCGAAATTACCTCAGACCTCCCCCTATCTTGTCTCATTACAACCTGCCTTCCTGCATAAAACAAAGTGGCCAAGTTGCAGCTAATTACTTAATGGTGTAATTACTCATTTAGACTGTCTTCTCTGCTCAGCAAGAAGCCTGAGGAGGGAGCTAAGTCTGGTCTCTGCTGCAGAGCCAGCATTAAAATGAGCTCTTCCTGGAGGAGGGGATCATTCAGTATCTGTGGAATGGATGGATGGATGCATCAGTCCATCCCTAGTTAGTGAAAATGCCCCGTTAGGTCTGATCCCAGCAAACGTGAGCTGGGAACACCAGGCCACAGAGCTGGATTTGGATGTGTGCATTTTCTTTTTTTTTTTTTTTAATGTTTATTTATTTTTGAGAGAGACACAGTACAAGTCTCCAATGAGACCCTTGGAGCTAACAGAATCATGGCTGCAGGTGCCGATCTGTGCGGCGTTTCTGGAGCGGTGGATCTGGGCTCCAATTACACTGAGTCCTTCCGAGAGGGGATTTCTATATGGTACCAAGTTGCTTTTTTTTTTCTTGTTAAGTTTATTTATTTTTGAGAGAGAGACAGCATGAGCATGGGAGGGGCAGAGAGAAAGAGAGAGAGAGAACTCCAAGCAGGCTCCGCACTGTCCACACAGAGCCAGATCTGGGGCTTGAACTCATGAAATAATGAGATCAAGACCTGAGCAGAAACCGGGATTGGAAACTTAACCAGCAGAGCTGCCCAGATGTCCCCCAAGTTTGTTTTAGTTGCAAAACGTGGGAAACAAAATCAGACCCAAAGAAGCTCTGATATTTCTTTTTTTATTAATGTTTATTTTTATTTTTTTTTATTTTTGAGACAGAGACAGAATGCGAGTGGGTTAGGGGCAGAGTGAGAGGGAGACACAGGAGCAGAAGCAGGCTCCAGGCTCTGAGCTGTCAGCACAGAGCCTGAGGCGGGGGTTGAACTCACGAGCTGTGAGATCATGACCTGAGCCGAAGTCGGACACTCAACCGACTGAGCCACCCAGGCGCCCCAGAAGCTCTGATATTTCAAGGGAGAATAGCATTCTTGTAATTCTTAAAGCTTTAGATTCATGCACAAATATATAGACAGGTGTAATTTTTTATTTGCAGGTGAATTGTGTGCATAACGAAAAGGGGTGTCACTTTCAATATTAATGTTTTTCTCACATGTATAATGTTTAATGGGCAGTTTACACACCTTGTCTAATTTATTTCTCACTACGGTGGGTCAGGGGAGCAAGGCAGGTATTATTGTCATCATTTTTGCCATGAGACGACGGAGACTGTAAGTGGGATAGTCGTATGTCCACCATCCTGGGGTGCGTACGAGGCAGAAGTTGGCACAAAGTTGGGTCATCCATCTCCATGGCGTTTGTGTTTCCTGTTGTGATCTTGTTATCTTCTGTGTTACTTGTGGAAGGGATTGGTTTGGGCCACTTTTGTTTCCTTTAGATATTCTCTGTCAATGCCCATTCCCCCCTCCTGATCATAATACCTTTTTCATAAGCTATATATGCTTATATGGGTGCTTATGTTTATATAAATGTCCTCAGAAAAAGTCCTGGTCTCTCTCTCTTTATCTAAATATAGAGAGACAAATATAGATACAGATTTGTAGATCTGTGCTACATAGATCTGCTTATCTGCAAGGATCCATCTGTATTTATGTGCATATAGATGTCAAACGTGCACAGATATGTGTTGTTTCAAAAGTATAAGAAAAAGGTGTGTTTGAAAAAAAACAGTTCCATGGTTTGACTCATTACTGAAATCAGAAGAAAAATGAGATGAAACGCAGTGTCTATTGTGGCAGCAAAGCCCATGTCTGTGCAGTCAGGTGAGAAAGGCCCATCTTCCCCCTGTGGAGACAGTCACCATCCTCACCCCTCAGTTCTGTGGGGGCCCAGTGCTGAGTGACAGGCTGCTCCTAGTGCCTGGAGGTGAGCTGGGTGAAATCCCAGCTCAGAGAATGACTCTGAACAGTGGGGGCTCCCTCCCAGCTTGGATCTGAGAACCGAGAATCCCACAAGGAGACCAGTCTGTGCTCACAGGCTCTGCAGCCAAATCAGGGGTCCCAGAGGGTCTGCGAGCCGGGAACCAGGAACCCAGACGCCTCCTCATTTCCCTTCCCGGCTTTCTGGCCAGACGACTTCCACCCCCTCCATTGGAGAAGTCAGTGCCCTGCAGTCCCCAGGCAGGTCCCTGCCCCCGGAGCAGGATGTGGCCCCAATGCGGCCAGATTCTTTGGGGTGAGGGTGCCACCAGTGGATGGTTAAGGGAAGAGCTCTGGGGACAGGGCCCCCTCTCCGTGTGGGTCTCTGCCCAGCCACCTACCAGCCAGATTGCGCCCTGTTAACCCTCAGCTACAACGTGATGATCAGATCACCTCCTTTGTAACTCCTGTGACGAACAGTTTTCATTCTTTTTCTTTTTTAAAAGTTTTTATTTATTCTTTTTTATTTTTCATTATTTTTTTAAGTATTCATTTATTTTGAGAGAGACAGAGAGAGAGTGAGCAGGGGAGGGGCAGAGAGAGAGAGAGAGAGAGAGAGAGAGAGAGAGAATCCTAAGCAGGCTCCACACTGTCAGCACAGAGCCCGACGAGGGGCTCAAACTCACGAACCATGAGATCATGACCTGAGCCAAAGTCAGACACCCTACCGACTGAGCCACCCAGGCATCCCTCAACAGTTTTCATTCTGAGCGTGGAGGGCAAAGACAGGAACGGGACCCTCTGGGCAGAACTGAGGGGAGCTGAAGTCCCCCCCAGATGAGGGCCTGGCTCCCCACGCTGGGCAGGGACCTGGGGCTCTGCTCCTTGGAGATGGGAGGATATCCTGGGGCACAGGGTAGGGGACCATGCAGCATGAGACACAGCAGCTGGGCCCTGCTGAGAAGGAGCAGGCAGGGGGAGAAGACGGGTACGTTCGGCTGCATTTGACCTGAAGGGTGGGTGGGTGGCAGCTTAGAGTCTAACATTGATTTTGTCGAATGGTGATGGTCGAGTCAGGGAGACTTACATGCACCAAGGGGGTACATTTGAAGGCCTGGGGAGACAGTGAAGGGGCCACAGCAAAGGTCTACAGAGGCTCATCTCAAGGCCCCGATCGAAGGAGGCAGTAAAGACAGGTGAGAAGGTGGATGTTAGAGATGCTCGGGAGGTCATTCGGCAGGACGTACTGACCCACGGGGCACCTGCTCTCGGGAAGCGTGAGAGATCGTCCCTTGCAGCCCGCACGCTCATTGCTAAGCCCACTGTCGTCCTTCTCCGTCCCCCTCCAGGGATGTGTTCACACAAGGTTTGCCTGATGAGTATGCCTTTGTCACCACCTTCCGGTTCAGGAAAACGTCTCGGAAAGAAGACTGGTACATCTGGCAGGTCATTGACCAGTACGGGATCCCACAGGTAGGAGCGGCCGTGTCTCAGGGGCCGGAAGCTTTCTGTTTCTTTCTCGTGGGGATGGTGTCATCCGCCATGTTTTCTCCAGGGCCATCCATCCTGGGCCCAGGAGATCACGAGTCTGGTGTATGAAGCCCCAGAGAGACGTGGCTTCTTTCTCTGAGGGCAGGTCCGTTCCTGGCACTCTGGGTGGGGGGAGGCAGGAGACCTCCTCCCTTCCTGCCCTACAGGTGCTCAGCCGAACCAGGGAGGTGGCTCTGTTAGAGCGGCACAGCTCGTGATACAGCGGAAGACGTAGCTCAGGGTCAGCTAGTCCTGGGTTCAGATCTTGTGTGTGTGCCTTTCTTGGTGTGGGCCTGAGACATGTGAGCTTAGCGTCCTGAGTCCTGTTGCTCCTCAAGGTCACGTGGAAACAGCTGCCACGGGTGGTTGGGGAAGGTGGGGTGAGCCACGTCTCTCGTGCATCTGGAACGCCTCTTATGTGAACGTGTCGTGTTACATCACTTCCCTTCTTACGCCATTCTGCTCTTAACCCTGAGTGCCGTTCTTGGCCATCTCAGGTGCGTTTTGGCTTTCTGCCCCCTCGAAGGTAGAACGACTCACCAGCGGCACGCAGCCAAGTCAGGAAGCGGGGTCTCAAAGTCAGAGCCATTGGCACAACACGCTGGTTTGAGTTGCAGGCGACATTGAGTTTTGTGCCCTTGCCAAATCCCCAGTGCAGGGACCGTCCCCATCTTCGTCATTTACCCTTGTCCCCTTTTGAAGACGTACTCCTCTTCAGCGGGCGGACACGGTCTGTATTTTCATTTGAGGCTGAAATGGAAACGTGCTCAACTGGACCCCAGTGGCCACGCTCGTGGGCTGTGGCCAGAGGACACGCTGCTCCACACGGCGAGCTGCGGGCCGGGCCGTGTACCATGGTGAGGGCTGGACTCCGATGCCGCACGGGCTCGTTGATGCACCCCTGCTCTCTGTAGGGGCAAGAGACTGTCCTGGGCACTTCGTACATCGAGGCTGTGGGTCTTCTTCCCAGCCTGTTGCCATCTTGCCAGGAGGGGACTGAGTATGTGCGGTTTGTCCCCTGCCTGAAGGAAAAGAGGGATTTGAACCCAGGGAGCCCAGCTCCGCATCTGTCTCTTATCCACCGTGCCCAGCTGGCTCCTGTCTCCCTCAGTCCTGCTAAATGATGTTTCCAGAGCATCCCTGGTCAGACTGAGATGCGAAACGTTTTCGACCCTGACGGCTGAGTGCCCTGATTTCCTGAGTGTGGGAGGCTGGACGGAACAGATGAGGCTCCTCTCCAGAGGCCGGTTGTCTGGAGGGCAGGCAGCTCATGGTGTCTCTCATTCACATCCACCTCCGGCACGTGGGTCTTCCTTCTCCAATTTCGCAGGGTCTGGTGCAGTGGGACTGGGCCCCCGCCATGCATTCTTGCGGGGCAAACCCCCGCCCCCTCGTCTGGGTTCTCTTCCCTCATGGCATTTGCAGAGCTGTGTGGGATTGCTGTCTGCCATGTCTGCGTCCCCCCCTTCCTCTTTCCGGAATGAGCCATGGGCTGGGACACTACAGAGCCGTGCAGAGATGGCCCGCCTCGGAGGACCTCAGGCTCATCTGCAAAGAGGCACCTGGCGTTTCGATTTCATTGAGTGAGCCTTGATGGAGCACAGTTCCCTGGCGGTCTGAGGGTGGCCCCTTCTTGCCCCGGGGGGCATACTGGCCAGACACAGGGAAGATGGACAGAGGCCTGCCGGAAGGGATGTGTAGGCAGAATGCTGTGATTCTCTTAGTCCTGCAGACCTAGATCTTTGTATCTATCCATCACTGCATTTAGTATTTCCAACCACACTCGCATTGGTGTTCTCCTCACTTGTCATCCACTCATTCCAGATATGTTCGAGGGACAGGAAGGAGGCTGGCCCCGCACATCAGAGATGAGGCTCCAGAAGTTTTGGGAGGGGACAAGGTTCTTTGTAAGCAGTGGAGGGACTTCTGTTTGAGCCCAGGCTCTGGGAGGTGGGCAGATCCAAAACAGGAAGACCGATTTGGAGACTGCTGTAGTCATTGAAGCAAAGGATGATATTGACCCAGACTGCTAGTAACACTAAACTGGGTGGAAATGATCAGATCCTGGATGTATTTTGAAGCCAGATCCAGTAAGATTTGCTGATGGATCTGAGCCTTGAGGTGCCTTCCTGAGGTCCCCAGCTGGCCCTGGTAGACACAGGACTCTGGCCTGCCAGGCGCCACTCTGTGCTCTGTGTCTTCTAAAGACATTTACATCCTGAAGGGAAAGCCGTGTCCTCATGAGGCTCCCGCGGTGGTTCAGGGACCCAGGACTCAAACATGGGAAAGCACTTTCTAGAAACAGAAGACCATGTTTAATAATAGAAATATTAGGGTATGAGGATTAGAAGTGTACTAGATTGGTTGGCCAGGGTTCATAGTTTTCTATGTTTTACCAACACAGCACGCAATGCAAAAAAAACCCCCAAATATCCCCCCTCCACTGTCCGGAGGTCACGTGGGGCCCAGAAAGAGAAACCAGAGCACCTGGGTGGTGTTACAAGAGCTGTGGCTGATGCCCAGCAGTGCGTGGGCACCTTCCTTTAACCTGAGGGCTCTCATTCACTCATTCACTCATTCAACACCTTTTTTTTGGGGGGGGGGTGGCACTATGTGCTGAGTGTTGTCCTCACCCCTGAAGAGAGGGCAAGAGAGACAAGTGCCTGCTTACAAGGATGGGGCAGGACAGTCAGGAAACAGGTGAGCAAGAGAAATGAACACTGACCAAGCACTCTGAGAACGAGAACAAGTGAATGGAACAAGCGGGGGGATGATGTGAGAGCACGTGAGCAGGCTGGAATCCAACTGTGTGTGTGTGTGTGTGTGTGTGTGTGTGTGTGTGTGAGAGAGAGAGAGAGAGAGAGAGAGAGAGAGAGAGAGAGAGAGAGTCGGAGAAGGCTTCCACTGCGTGATGGCTTTCAATTTAGTCCCTTTTTCATTATGGCTAATACTCAGAGCAGCACCTGGAATATGATTGACGCTGCATAAGTGTTTTACATACACCATGTTGATTCACTTAATCCTCATAATGACTTGGTGATATAGGTGCCATCATTGGTGCCATTTTATGTATGGGGAAATGGCCCAGAGAGGTTAAATCACTTGCCGGAGGACACACAGCTCAAAAGTGACTTGCCGGTTCGGGTGTAGGCAGACAGCCGACAGCCCCAGTGTTGGGAGAGGGTTTTAAGAAAGCGGCCAGGGTTAAGGTTGATGATGAGGTTAAGGGTCAGAGTTAAAGAAGCCGACAAGGGATACTGAGGTGCGTCCTGGGATTAGTAACAGCAGGAAGCGGCACCTAGGCGGCCTGGGCAGGGAAGGTTGGTGGTTCCTGGAGGCCGTGGGTTCTGGAGCCATGGAGGAGAGCGAGTCCTCACGTGGCCTTGGTGTGTGGATGGACACAGCCACACCGCAGGGAATCAGGCCCCAGACCCTGTCTTCCTGCCTAAGGTCTCCATGCCGTGGGCTTCCCATGGGCCACGCTGATGAGAAGCCAAAGGGCACAGGAGCCCAGGTGCGGGAGTCCTTAGAGGTCAGACTTGGGGTGCCGGAGCTAGGCAGGGAGGGGTGGAGCATGGGCGTCAGGGCACATGAAGACTGGTCCCACGGCGGGGGGGGGGGGGGGGGGGGCAAGAATATATTCATTCCTTCACTCGCTGATGAATACTTTTTTTTTTAATGAAGGCTAACTTTGTTTTCAGTTCATTCATCTATTTGAGAGAGAGAGAGAGAGAGAGAGCACGGGAGGGGCAGAGAAAGAGGGAGAGAGAGAATCCCAAGCAGGCTCTGCTCTGTCTGCGCAGAGCCCAATGCGGGGCTCAAACCCATGAACCTTGAGATCATGACCTGAGCCAAAAGCAAGAGTGGCACAGTTAACCGACTGAGCCACCCAGGCACCCCGTGAATTCTTCTCTCTGTATGTTACATGTAGAAATCCACCTTACTTTCATGTGTCTGTGTTTCGCACTGTCATATTGCTGACACCGGGCACCTTGCTTGCCTGTTGCAGATGGTGCTCAGTGAATACGTGTAGGGGAGGAAGCATGAGGGAGTGTCCATTCATTCATTCATTCATAGAACAAAACAAAAGTAAAACTTTCTTCCAGAATTTCCCAGGCATTTTGCAAAGGGCGGGGCGTCCTCCAGTGAATGTGAAGATACGTGAGTCCTGCCCCTAAGGAACTTTATCCTCCTGGGGCTTCAGTTTCATCCCCACGGTGGGAGACAGTGTGGGGTCTCAGCCTGGCATCTGGCTGGGCACGTTCTGTTTGGCCAGCCCAGGGTTTTACAGAAACCAGCCGGGGTTTCTCACTGGTCTCGGGACTCAAGTGCTTTGGCGTGAGTTGTCTCGCAGAGTCACAGAAGTGCTCGTCCTGCATGGTGCCACCAGGCATGGGGTTGTGGCCCCTGGATTCAGGTGGAGCCCAATTATTGCATGCCCAGTGCAGGCTTAGGACAACTTGCAAATTGGCACCAGGGCTGAGGAGGGAACTGAGGCTTTGCCCAAGGTTGCCCAGCGGAGAGGGTCACGGCCAGGACGTGACTCGGGATTCTGCAGCCCCCTCCCCCCTCGCCCTCTCTCCCCTTGGGTCGCTCCCATGCAGCTCAGGGAGCCTGTGGTCCTCTGCTCCCCAGGTCTCCATCCGGCTGGATGGCGAGAACAAGGCAGTGGAGTACGATGCCGTGGGCGCCATGAAGGACGCCGTGAGGGTGGTGTTCCAAGGCCCCCGGGTCAGTGACCTCTTTGACCGGGACTGGCACAAGATCGCCCTGAGCATCCAGGCCCAGAATGTCTCCCTGTACATCGACTGTGTGCTGGTGCAGACGCTGCCCATCGAGGAGCGGGAGAACATCGACATCCAGGGCAAGACCGTGATCGGCAAGCGCCTGTATGACAGCGTGCCCATCGACGTGAGTACCGGGATGCGGGCAGGGGGGAGGCTCCTGCGCCCAAGGTCCTGGGGTCACCAGGGGAGGAAAGCCTTGGGAGTCAAGTGCCCTCGCCTCCCCCAGACTTGTCCGTTTCACTTGTCAAGACATCACCTTGGACTGCTGTAGGAGGGAGGACCCTACCTCAGAAACCGTGTTGGGACCCAGGGTCCCCTTCATTCATTCATGCATTCAGTTGTTCATTCAGCTGGTCATTTTTCACATGTATATTGAGCACGTGCTGTGTACCAGGCGCTGTGCCCAGCCATGGGGACATCTGTCTGCATATGTATCTGTAGGTAGTAGATACGGAGAATTCTAAACTCCCCTGTGTATTTAAATAGAGCCTTTTTTTAATTTTTGCTTTCTTGTCTGATTGTAGAAAATCTGGAAAACACAGTATATGCAAAATAAGTAAAAAAAAAAAAAATTGTCCTCCGTGCACTGCCCGGGGATGACAACCAGTGATAACTCGGTAATGGTACCAGTGTCCTCCCGTGTCCTTCCATCAGTGTTCTTTCTTCCTGCTCTTCCCGCCCCCTTTTCTCTCCTGTCTTTTTCTTTTTCCCTTAATTTGTATTTCTTTCCTCCGGAGCTGCCTCTGCACCTCCGTGCACACAGACGCGGGCACCGTAAGTGCACGGCCCTGAGATGCACATGCGCAGGGTGCTGGCACTCCCTGTGTGCGATCCCTTCGAGCCCAGGCAGCCTTACCTGCTACAGCAGGAGCATCCGCCTCCCAAGGAGTAATCAGATCACGATTTGGGTTAGCTCTCTCCAAAACCACCTCTTATCCTTTCTTACACTCTCACGCGTGTCTGTTATCAAAGATGGTGTTGTTGGAGGTGAGCTCAGTTCTTTGGAGTTTCTGCAAACGATCCGTGGTTATCCTAAATCCTAAATGTAGGCAATCCTAAAATTGCTTTTTGCTTTTCTTCCTAAGAGGATGGGTCAAAGCTTTTCTTCTTTCTTCTAGCTGCTTTGATATACTTTATTACACGTTGTGTTTAGTTACTGATGCTTCCCCGTCCTAATCATCAAGCCTTGGGTCTTGAACATGGTGCCATGTGTCCAAGGACACTTTCCTCATGAGGAGCACAGCTGCCCGTCGAGTTTGAGCTGTAGACCAGCTGATAGGGTTCCACTGGGGCATGTGCCCTTACAATCAGTGATTAGGTTGTAAGGTAAACCATTTTTGACTTTCGCACATAATGTAAATTTCTCAACAAAGTGCCTGAACATTTATATGCCTACCACCGATGTACAGCAGTCCTATTTTCTTAAGTCCTCACTGGTATATTGAATATATTTTATTTTTTAAAAGATTTTATTTTTAAACAATCTCTACGTGCAACGTGGGGCTTGAACCCACAACCCCGAGATCAAGACTAAGCCAGCCACCTACTGAGCCAAGCAGATGCCCTGATGTATTTTATTTTTAAATGTTTTTTGTTTTGTCAATCTGATGGGCATATGATGGTATTTTTTTTGTCTTTTCCACCTGTATTTCCCTGCTTCTGCCGCAAACAGCCATCCTGTGTATTTGATTGCCTACTTGACATCCCCTCGGTGACTGGGGATGCCCGTAGCATTTGCCTGTTTTTATGATTATGCTGTGTGGTTTTTTTTTTTTAATGACTTCTAGATAATACGTATATATTCTGAATATGAATTGCATATTTATTATATGTTGTGAATATTATTTCCTGATCTGTCAAGCACAAACCATAAGCTAAAAAATTGAGTAATTTTGAACACCTCAAGATTCAAGAAATGGTGTTATGGCCAAAAAAAGCACCATAAACAACGTTAGAAAGTCTCTTACAACTTGCATTGTTAGCTGAAGAAGAGATTGTGGACATTGCCAGTATGTACAGATTCCTTAAAATGAAGGCCAGAGAAGGCTCGCCAGAGGGAGTAGGGCAGAGGAGAGACGGGGTGGAGGGAGGCAGGCGGCACCCACGAGCCATGCCCGCGCGTGTCCACCTCCAGTCCCCTCGAGTGGTCCTGCCGTGGTCACGCACGGAAGCGATCTCGGCTGTGCCTGCTTGTTCCTTTGACCTCTGCGGTGGAAACCAGGCTGATGCTTTCCGTATGTTGCTGCTGACAGGGTGAAATAAGATAGTAGACGTGGGCCCAGAGCAGAGAAAGAAAATCCTAAAAGCAACTAAAGCTACCAAAATCGTCACTCAGACTGCTGCAAATTCCAGCTGAGAGCATCACGCTGTGCCCGCCCCTTCGTGCCCCCACCCCGCGTCCGATCCAGGCTGCCTCCCAACCTTAGGAAGCAGACACCACGAACACCTCAGTTCACGGCCGGGGAGAAGGACGCTCCTTGAGAAATGTCCTGGGTTTTCTCAGGTCGCAGAGCCAAAACGTGGCAGAGTTGGGATTTCTGCTCAGACAGCCCGTTTTCAATGCCCACCTGCAAACCACGCCTTGTCTAAGACCATGAGCGTCGGGGCCTGGCGAAGACAGAGCTGTGGCATGTGTACGATACAAGTACGGTCATGCCAGTCCCCGTCAGAGTATGTGTTATTGTCACAAGCACAACCCCTTTAACCCTCCCCACACGCCACGGAGGGGGCATTGCTCCTGTGCTACAGGTGAAGAGTCCAGCTCAGAGACAGTAGCTGGTTTGCTTAAGCCCCCCCGTCCCTGCCAGCCCTGGGCCAGTGTGGGGTGAGGCAGGATGGGTCTTGGGAGCAGTCTGTTGGTGAAGCCTGTGGGAAGGGCAGAGGTAGGGCAGGGAAAGCTCAGCGTTGCATCCGAAGATGTTCCCTGGGGCTGCAGGGAGCAGGTGGATGTAGAGGAGAAGGAGGGGTGGGCCGTTAGGAAGCAGTGAGAGGCCCAGCGGCTGGGGGCCTCCTCAGGGATAGTGAGGTTCCTGGTGCCTCCCGCTGAGGGTGGGGGGTTCAAGAGGAATGGCCAAGGAAGCCGACAGGCATGTAGGCAGGGGGATGCGGTGAGGGTGCCATCCAGCTGGGGGAGAGCTGGGGATCGGAGTAGGGGTGGAGAGGGGCGATCCTGGGCCCTGAGGGTGGAGCTTGTCTGGGATGCTCGCGATGCCAGGGTGGGGGGCCCTTCCCCATCCCTGTCCAGAGGCCCCGCTGGCCTCCCCTTCCCTGTGTCCCAGGCCTCTGCCGGTCTCCCGAGTTGGTCAGTGAGGAGCATTCTCCCTCTCGGAGACCAGAGGGATTCACCTCTCCCACCCTCCACCTGTCCAGAGCCGTCTCCTGGCTGGTGCTGGTGCTGGGGACCAGCACCCGCCACCCTCTTCCGCAGGGTCAGCACCTGGGTCTCTAGGGCTGCCTGCCCGGCTGCTCTAGAGCAGGCCCCCAAGCCACGGTCAGCGTCTAGCATGGGAGGACCGCAGGGACCAGCACACCTGTTGGCGCTCTTGTCCTCCTTCCATCGCGCCAGTTTGGGGGTCCGGCAGGCACCCCCACCTGGCGTCTGCGCACTAAGCGCTGGCCTGGAGCAGAGACACCTCACTCGCACTTTGCCTGGTCCTGCCCACTGTGTCCTCGTGCTCCCTGGGTTCATCCACGTTGCAGCCCCGAGAGCTCATTCGCCCCATTGTCCCCATTGATTTGTTTATATTTAAATGTTTATTTATTTATTTTGAGAGAGAGAGAGAGAGAGAGAGAGAGAGAGACAGGGCACGAGTGCAAGTGGGGGAGGGGCAGGGAGAGAAGGGGAGAGAGAGAATCCCAAGCAGTTTCCTCACGGTCAGCACAGAGCCCGACGTGGAGCTCGGCCTCCTGACCCTGAGATCGTGACCAAGAGTCGGATGCTTTACCGGCTGAGCCACCCAGGCGCCCCCACGTTGTCCCCATTTAGCAAGGAGGTGCAGGCACAGAGAGATTCAATAACTTGCCCAGAATGGCCAAGTGGGTAAGTGGCTTCACAGTCTGCTTGTGGGTTCTGTGCTTTACTGGGTGTCTGGGACCCTGGGTGTGCGTCCTGCCTGACTCTCACCTTCGATGGTCGCATTAGGCCCTTAATTGGCCTCTTTGCACCCCCCGTGTGGAGTCTGGGGGCTCGGCGGGTCCCTTTCTCTCCTTTCACCACGCCATTAGCCGAGTGTCCACTTTGTGTGCCTACTGGGAATCCCAGAACCTCTGACATTTGTCAACAGAATACCACACCCATTTCCCATTTCCAGCTGGGTTTCTAGCTTGAAAACAAATCCTAATGAAGTATGTGGCAGGAGAATCAATAAATTCCTCAGCCTGTTGTCAATCTTGCAAAAGCATGGGGTGGTCCAGGGCCTTGGACACAGCCAGAGAGACCACAGCACGGCTGCAGCTCTCCCTGTGACCCCCACATGCCTCTGTGCCTCACCTGGTCCTCGCCCAGTCCTGCGAGGGTGCGTCACCGCCTTCACCCTACAGCAGAGGACACAGAGGCTTGGGTTGGCGTGTCTTGACCAGCTGTCACGAGAGGAGCAGGGCTGGGACCCAAACCAGATTTCAAGCTCCCTGCACTCCCTAGCCAGTTACCCCGGCGCAGCCAGAGAAGGGTCACCAAGCTGCAGGTGGTGGACCCTGAAGGAAAGCCGGGCCAGGGAAGACCACCTAGGCTGTCGTTCAGACAGTTACTGAGAGCATCGATGTGAGCAGAGAGCTGAGAGTCGAGTGGGGGCCAGAGGGACGTCAGCGGGTAGGTTCCTGGCTTGGTGGAGGGAGGAGACCAGATGCAGGAGCAGGGTGGCCAGAGAATGATGGGACTTCAGGTGGCCGGAAAGGGGTCCCTCTGGCTCCCAGACCCTCTCAGCCACCTGGGAACCTCTCTGCCAGGCCCCGGTGTCTGTGCTCTGACCGTGACCCTGCACGTCTGTCTCTTTCTTCCCCGGCCCTGTCCTCACAGCCTTGCCAAACGGACCAGCTGCTGGGTATGTGTTTGCTAATGAAGAAAGCAGGACCCTGTCTTGAAAATGGGCTTTGTTCAAAAGCACGACTGTATGTTTTGTCATTTTCTCCTGTTCTGCGGGCTGGCGTCTCACAGGAAGTAAAACAGACAGACGGATGGGATGGTTAACTGAACTGTGGGGTGGGGGGTTATATCCCCAGGGCACCTTCTAGAGCCAGCAGGATGAGGCCAAGCACTGAGCAGCCGCATGAGGGTTCGCTGGGGCCCTCCAGCTGCAGCATAGGCCAGCCAGAGGAGGGTAAAGGGAGGCACAAGGCCAGGGGCACGTAGCACCCATGTTTAGTAAAATAAGCATCCCTCTATTCGCTGGTTCGGCTCAAGTTCCCTCAACAGATGTGTGTGCATACACCCATGCATCCTTCCAACCATTCATTCTGGGCCTCTGGGACTCTGCCGGGTGCCAGAAACGGTTCTGGTGCTGGGGATCCAGCGGAAGACAGGGGAGAAGAGATGCCTCACGGGGTCTACGTGCTGGCAGGGAAGCAGGTTTTGAAAAGTAAACTAAGAAACGTGCACAAAGACGTTTCGCGGCAGGGGACATAAAGTGACAGGCGATGGGGCCTGCACTCAGGTGGCACTTGTGGAGGTGAGGGCAGCATGGTTTGGGGAGGTGACTAGGAGTTCGCTGGGTTTTCAGGGAGTTTCCTAGATGAGGGACCCCGTGTAAACGCACGGATGTGGGAAGCCAGGAGGTTGGGTGCTGTGGGATGTGAGTGCGGAGTGAGGGGAAGCACCCCTGGAAAAGCAGGCAGAGCCAGGTGCTGGGGGACCCAAGCGTCCCAGAGAAGGCCCAGGCTTTCTGTGCAGACTGTGTGTGCACGTGTGTATGCGTGGGCCTGTGTGGGCCTGTGTGTCGTGTGCACATATACACGTGTTGTGTGGGTGTGTGCATGTGGGTGTGTGTGTGCATGTGTGCATATTGCACATGCTTGCACGTGTGTGTTGTATGGGTGTGTGTGCAGACGCATATGTGTGCCTGCGTGCACATGTGTGTGTTCATCTCTGCGTGCACGTGTGTATTGTGTGGGTGCAGACGTGTGTATGTGTCCGTGTGTGTGTGTGCATGTGTGGGTGTGTGGGTGCAAATGTGTGTGCATGCTGCACACCAAAACCCTTGTAAGTTGTGTTGATGGACTGCGGTGTTAAAGGGGGTGATGGAGGCACATTTACTGTACAAAGTTGACTTGCGCAGCCGCGTGGAGATGCCATGTGGGTTGGGCGTGAGGTACTTTCGGAGGCTTCCAGAGACCGCGGTGAGAGCGCCCTGAAAGGAGCTCTAAATAAACGCGCTGGCAGTGACGGGGGGCGGGAGGTGGCATGTGACAGGGAGCCTAACCTGCAGCCTCCAACCTCCTTGCACTTGGGGCTGTCACTTCTAGAAGGGCGCGCAAGTAGGTGACACATAGGCTCCCCCTGGAGCTCAGCCCAGGGCGGGGGGTGGCCCGGGTCAGACCAGAAGGGACCCCGAGGAGGAGGTGGGGCCTGCTGGAACCATGGGGGCTTCGGGCTGCTAAGTCCCCCGGGACTCACCCCCATCCTCGTTATCCTTTCCAGTTTGACCTGCAGCGGATTGTGATTTACTGTGACTCCCGACACGCGGAATTGGAGACTTGCTGTGACATCCCCTCAGGCCCGGTGAGCAGACTCCTGCACGCAGAGGAGCAGAGGAAACTCAGAGGGACAGGGGTGTCCAGGGCCTAGGAACCGGCATCCAGGGGCCGGGGTGTGCCCACCTTCAGAATGTGGCCTGAAAGGGCTCCGTTTCCTGGGCACCCGGGGTGTGGGTTGGGAGTCATGCAGGCCCCCGGTGGGGCTGCAGTGGTCCTGGCCTCAGTCAGTGCCCTCAGGCTGCAGGCCAAGTGCTGGGGCCCAGCTGCAGGGAGAACAGACAGAGGCTGGCAGCATGGCCGTGGGAGGGACTGACCCGTGATCAGAGCAGGGGAGACCGAGGCACCTTGGTCTGGTCGGCAGAGGGGAGGAGGCAGCTCGCAGGCAGGACTGGGAAGTTCAAGACAGATCAGAGTTTTTCCCCCTGACCCTCCAGGCAGGTCAGCCTCCCCCTGGGACCTCTCCACTTCTGCCCCCTTCCAGGCTCTCTCTCTCCAACCTCTCTAGCAAAACCCGGTCCCAAGGCTGCTTGGAGGGCGGGCTTAGTGACAGGGCCTGTTCCCAGGGCTGAGGGCTGAGGTCCTCGCACGGTGCTCAGTGGGCCCCGTGCTCTGGACGTGGTGATGGAAGCCGCCAGCGCTCGGGGTTTAGAGTCACACAGGCCTGACTCTGGACGGAGGGAAGAGAAGGAGGTCAGGTAAGGGTCCATGAGAGCAGAGAGGTGGGAGGGGTAGAGGTGGTGGTAGGGAAAGAGGACATTACCAAGCACCTGCTGGGGGTCAGACACTGAGCTGTCCCACTGACTCCTCCTCATTGTGCGTCAAGATAGACACACCCTTACCCCCATTCTGCAGAGCGTAACACTGAGGCTCAGAGGGGTTAGCGGTGCCTGCAGTTGCTGAGAGGCCAGCGGCTGAGAGCAGGTCGGCCCAGGCCCTTCTGACTCCAAGGCCTCAGGAGCCCAGGACCTGCGGCCAGACATGACCCGACCTCCCCCCCCACCGCTCAAGTGCAGGCTCCTTGGGTTCCTGGCTCCCGTCGCGTGCTCCCCTGCCGGGGCTCTGTGCAGAGTCAAGAGCCAGGTTCTAACCCACTGGGATTTCCTTTCAGTGCCAGGTGACTGTGCTAACGGAGCCTTCGCCCCCGCCCCAGCGGCCTCCCACCGTGGGCAGTGAACAAATCGGGTTTTTGAAGACCATCAACTGCTCCTGCCCGGCTGGAGAAAAGGTACCCTCCCCGTTTGACCCTCAGCCCCCAGCCCAGAGCCCCCAGGGCTGAGCGGGGCAGGGTGGTCACCGCGAGCAATGGCGGAGGTGGGAATTTCCCATCATGCACGAGGTCGGCCAGGGCGGATGGCCCCAGGTGCTGAGGGAGCCCTTCTTGTTCCTTGGACTCTTGTGTGTTGATGTTCCAGCTCATGAGGATGGGAGCTCTCAGACCCGTTAAGGTTTTCCTGGATTTAACTGTATTCCTGAGGTTTTTCTTGGCTCCTGCTGGTGCCCTCTCCACTCACATGCAAGTAATCAAACCAGATCTGGTTTGCGAATGAGGTTCAGAGTAGGCAGCATATAAGGAGAGTTTTATCTACTTTGCTTCTGATTTACAAACAGAGTGTTTCTATGAACACCACCAGCACCATCCGCTAGCCTGGATTAAAGGTCTCCTCCGGTGCCCGAGGCCTTCACCTCTTCCGTTTTTCTGTAGACCGGTGGCCTTTTTGATAAGACACAACAAAAATGAAAACACAACAAAATGAAACGCCAACATTTTCCACTGTTTGAGCAGAAGAACTTAACCAAACACCCGAGGATGCCAAAAAGCAGTACTGTGCTGGGAAAGGTCCCCGCGAGGTTCTGCGGGGCCCGTAGCCCAGGGCCTTGCCCCACGGCCTGCAGTTACATCCCCTGCTGCATCCACCCTCAGCTCGGGGCCAGCATCCCCGAGGTGTCGGTGACTTTGCAGGGGACAAGGCAGATGGAAAGAAATGTGAAATCACGGTCAGGTTCGCGGGAATGGACATACTTTCAGTACACATGTCCTGGCAGGCAGACTCCCTCCTTCTCTCCCTCCCCTCCTCCTTCTCCATCACACCTTCCCTCCCTTCGTTCTCCCTGGAGAGCCAGACCTGGGGAGACAGGGAGCCCCCAGGAGCTCTCATCAGGTGAGGCTGGCAAACGCTGGCCCGACTTGCTGAAAGGAGCCAGCTCAGCCTTGCCAGGAGCTGAGGCTTTTTCCGGGCAGGGGGTGAAAGTGGAGGCACCTTGGCCCGGTGCCCGCTGGGTTAGGATGGGAGACGTCGGGCAGGGAGCCAGGGGGAGCACACAGGGCTGGACAGCCGCCCCTCACCTGGCCCTGGCTTTCGGTTAAGAACCCCGAGTGAGAGGCTACCACGTGTGGGGCTTGGGTGACCATCAGCTGCACACAGACTGCAGGGAGGGAGGCCAGAGCCCGTTCTGCCCAGTCCAGACTTTTCCCCCGAGCCCGGCTGTGCCCTGAACATGTCCCCCCGGGGCCCTCGTGGTCCCTGGCACGGACCTGTGGGAGGGAAGTCTGGGGTCAAGCAGGCCTCCCCCTCCTGCTCCCCTCTCACCCCTCCCCACACTGCGTGGCTGAGGCAGGTCCCCTGTGGCCTTTCTAGCCCCATTTCTCTCCACTCTGCTCTCCCAATTTCCAGGATTCCTCGCAGGGATCATGACCATTCTTGTCTTCTGGCATTTGCGTGGACCACCCCCCCCCCCTTTATCTGGCTCATGCCTTTTCTTCTCTCAAGATGTCCCCAGGGAATCCTTTCTGAGCATGCTGTCGTCTATGTGAATTCCCTTCTCCCTCCCTGTAGCCTTCCCTCCCTTCCTTCCATCATCCACCGTGTACCCCTGCAATAGCTATTTATTCAGCACCTGCTATTTTCAAGACCCTGTGAGCCATTCCCCTCCCTGTGCTTCCATCTACCCTAATAATGATCACATTTGGATTAAAAACCTCTACCCGTCTTCACTTCCATCAGGTAGGTTTCAGATGGCAAAGATTCAATCTTGACATGGCTGTGTTTTCAGCCACTGATGTATATAGCCTGATTTTATTAAATAGTGGTGGAACTGAGGGACAGGAGGATCAGGTGTGAGGATAACGGGCCGATGGCAGCTGGAGAGCTGGGAGGGAGGGACAAAGGAACACACCATCTCTTGCCGCAGGACAAGGTCTTTCCTCTTCAAGATTATCTTTCACCTTACACATTCTCAGCCTCCAATTCTGGCGGCGTCACCCAGGAGTCCATTCCCGGATTCACTCACCCATGCCTTATTTTTGACAGTAAACAGTAAGCACCCACTTGTGCTGAGCACTGACGTTTTAAGACACATAGTGCATGGTCCTCCGAAGTGCTCCAGCGTGCTGTGGAGCCCGGGAGCACTGAGGTGCTCCCGGCCTGGGGGGCTCGCCAGCAGGCTGCTTCCCACACACAGGTGGCGGGAAGGGGGGCTCTTCTCCCTCCCCCAAGAAGAGGCCACATGGAAGAGCTTCAACAGCCACCTCATGAAATAGGGGTGGCCTCTGGATCGCCATCTTTAATACTGTAGAAGATAGGGTGCCCGGGGCCAAGGAGATGTAAGCATTCTCTCCTGGGAGGCTGAACTCGGACAAGGGCCACGGGAAGACTTGGCTTCCAGCCCTTTGAGTCTTTGAGTCAGTTTACAGAACACTTACATTCTTCACCGAGGTCACCGTGCCTTTTGGGTCCGTGTTTGCCTCTCTAGAACCAAATGTGTTGCCTGTAAACTGTGTATCAGGCATTCCGATGGGCGCTACGTGAGGTCAAACACACAAAAGATTACTCACCCCCACGCATGTGCAGATGACATCTGTTAATGCGTTGAAAAACAAACGTGTTCCTGAAGTGGCAAAGTACACAGCGTTGGCATTTTTAGTGATGGGTGTTACACATGCGTAAATGTAAGTGGATATGGTGCCCCTTCCTATACGTCAACGTGGCGAGATGTACATACGTACCATTGTATGAATCGTGTTCCGTTTGTTTTTAGCGTGACGCTATTTACAGGCACCCACAACTTAACAGCTCAGAATTTTTAATCTAGTAATAAGGTCGTTTACACAAATAGCATTTATTTTATTTTGTTTCAATTTCATTTTATTCTGAGAGAGAGAGAGAGGATGAGTGGGGGAGGGAGGGGTAGAGATGGAGAGAGGAGAATCCTAAGCAGGCTTCATGCCCAACGTGGAGCCTGATGCAGGGCTCGATCTCACAGACCATGAGATCATGACCTGAACCGAAATCAAGAGTCGGACACTTAACCAGTTGAGCCACCCAGGCACCCCAACAGATAGCATATGTTTTATAAAGTGAACAATGTTTAGAGTTAGGCTACAGACATGTATTGCTTCGGTATTTTGGTGAATGATGACTATAGGAACCTTTAGCAGGCCACATGATATTTTTTAGCTTAAGTGGTGGCCTAGCTGGGGTAAACATGGCCCATGGGGTACCCATCTTGTTCGTCTCTGTCTTAATTCTGCTGATGGCTGCATAGGGGTGATACCAACGTATCCCATGTAGTTTGAGCTTGAGATCAGGGGTTCTGAGCCCCAGGAAACCTTGTCCAGCTGGCTGGTCACAGGTGGATCACTCAGAGACTGGCCTGGGAGCATGTGGGGGGATAAATAACTAGTGAGGACAGACGGAGGGAGATTCAACAAAGCCTCACTGGTTTCTTTGTCCTTCTTCTTGTAGGGCGAGAAGGGGTCCGATGGTCCCGTGGGACTCCCCGGCCCAAAGGTCAGTATGGGCACTGCTCAGGGGCATTTTGGGGCCCAGATAAGCCTTTGCCATGCTCTGTAGATAGACACAAAAGCGGCATGTTAGGTGATGGCCCTGCGGTGTTGGCTTCCACCATGGTTCAGGTAGAATGATCGAGCAGGTGGTATGGAGTCTGCAACCTCCGTGTCTCGGTCTGAAAACCTGAGTGAGAAGAGGGGGGCTTAGAAAGCCCTGGCCCTGACCCTGACCCCATTTGAGGGGCTCACCTCTCCGTGGTCGGTTAATTTTGTGTCAGTCCTTTTAGGCTGCTGCATTCCAGAAACTTCGGGGTGGGGCTGGTCCGAGTCTGTTTAGATGGGCCTGTTATATTTTTCTGTAAGTTGCCTGACACTCTTTTTTGCACGAATCGTCCAGACTCGTGAGTTGCTCAAAGCCCAGTGCCTCCCCGTGGGGGCCCCCTCCTCATTCATGCAGCCGCCTCTGGGGCTCCCCGCCTTCCTGGGTTATTAGCGCTTACAGAGCTGGACAGGGCTGTCTTCTCATGTGGTTCTCTGGTCTCAGAGAGCTCAGACCCAGAGGGATGCTAACTGCCTGTGGTCACACAGGCAGGCGGAAGAGGTCAGTGTGACCCAGTGGCCATTACCTGGTCTGCTATTTGAAAGAGGGGCTGCGTGGAAACCCCCAGAGATGATGCCCTCCCCTTCTATCCCTCTCTCTACCCCCCTGCCTCCTTTCTCCCCTGACTCTGCTGGGCTGGGGAGCATGGTCTCTCACACACACACACACACACACACACACACACACACACCCCACCTGCTCTGCTCTGCTCCCCTCCCCTGGTGCCAAAGGAGAGCAGCTCAGGGCAGCCCAGGGTGCCAGGCGGTCCTTACAAGGAGAAACACAGGGATTTATGCCTCACTGGGCACCCCCTGGGCTGTAAGCTCAGCCTCTCGATTGTCAGATGGAAGTAAGGAGCAGAGGTGTCTGGGGGAGGAAGTGGAGAGCGTTTGTCTGGAACAGTGTTGTTTATGGAGTGGCTGTGCTGTGCTGTGGCTGAACAGATCCAGGGCTGGGCGGGGACCTGAGCAGGGAGGACGAGGCGGGGGGAGGGGAGACTAGGAGGGACTCGGGCACTGCCACCTGGAGATGCACGTGGCTCCCTCGGAGCTGATTTGCTGTCCTGAGGCTTCAGCCTCACCGGCCAGATTGTCCCAGGCTGAGGCTGAGACTGTGAGGAAAAACCTGTGGGTCCCAGTGGCCCCATTTATTTACCCACATGCAGCTCAGGTCGGGTCAACAGTCACGGTCTGGCGACCCCAGGTGCCGAGAGGCCTGTTCTAGTGCAGGACGTTCCAGTGAATGGGAGTCGCATCCCCAGCACTCACAAGCCGGCAACAGAGAGGCATGCATGGGATCGCCTGTGGGGAGAGCCAGGGTAGAAGGCCCGCGGGCCCAGCAGGCTGCATGGGAGCCTCTCGGGGTAAAGAAGGCAGGGGAAGGGCATGACAGGCCAAGGGAACAGCATAAGCAAACTAGCTTAGGGTATGAAGTGTGAGGTGGGAGTGGACACAGGTGAAACTGCATACCAGGAGAGGAGAAAGACAGGATGTTGAGGCTTCCTGTGTTGGGTACCCAAGCCCATCTTGGATCGGCTTCTGGTACAGTTGGAGGCGGTCCCACTCCCACACTCAGCCCTTGCAAACTGTTTCCTCCTCTGCCTGCTGTCCCTGTCTTCGTGCACTGCTGGGAGGGCTCAGGACCTTGTGGGCACAGACTGGGCATACAAATGGCATCAGGGGGCCCTGGCTGGCCTCTGGCAGTTTTGGAGTACCTTCCTGCTTTCAGTCTTATGTGAGCTCATGACTGCATGCCCATTTCACAGAGGAGGAGGCCCAAAGAGTAATGATGCTCTCACGTTCAGCGGCAGAGCAGGAGTTTGAATCCGTGCTTCTCACTCTCCCTTGGGGGCTGGGCCATTCCCAGAACAAACATGTGATGCTTTCACCCACTCGCTTTCTCAAAACGTCCTTCGCTCCGGAATTAAGAGGTTGGGGAAATTATGTAGATGCTTCCTCCCTCTCCGGGGATGGGAAGCATGGCCTCATTCCTAAAAGAGAAACTTTTAAAAAAATGTTTGTTTGTTTGTTTGTTTATTTATTTAGAGAAACAGAGGGAGAGAGAGAATCCCGAGCAGGCTCAGCACTGTCAGCCTATAGCCTGACTTGGGGCTCGATTTTGACAGTGACAAAATCAGCCGCTGCTAGGCAGTCGGGGCCAAGTGGGCAGGGGGATCCCTGCCGGGGGGCCTGACCCAGTGCTCCTCTCTGGTTTCCACCCCTACAGGGAGACACGGGAGCCACTGGGTTGGCTGGAGCTCCTGGACCCAAGGGAGAAAAAGGTGACATGGTGAGTACGGGGCTGATGTGGGAGACCCGGAGCTTCCCCCAAGCATGCATGTTGCCACAAGGCACCGAGTCCCTAGTGGGAGCCAGACACCGAGCCAGACGCTGCCCCCGGAATGGAGTCCAAGCTCTTCTCCAGGGCACGGGAGGCCCACAGAGGTGGCCCCAGCTGTGGCCCCAGCCCCATCCTGCACCTGCACCCCTCCCCCCACCGATTCTGTGCACCCAGATGGGCAGCTAGGAGTCTCCAAACTGGTCACTTCTCACTGGCCAGTGCACCTGCTCTTTCCTCCCTAAGGAATGATTTTGCTATCTTTCCACTCCCGGTTTTCCTCTCACCTCCCCTTTCTGACTGGCCCCTCTTTCCTCATATCCACGTGAACTGTGTAGGGTTCCCCAGGATATCCCTGTCGCCCCCGGAAAAGAAGCAGGGAACAGTGTCTGCCTGTGACTGGGCACTGGTGTCAGATGTACAAACAAAACCTACAAAGTAGGCATCACAGGGGTAGTTAAAGAGCAAGGGGGAAATCCTTCTCTTATTTAAAGTTTAGTTGTTTATTTTGGGAGAGAAAAAGAGAGCGCATGATCAGGGGAGGGGCAGAGAGATGGGGGGAGAGAGAGAATCCCAAGCAGGCTCCACGTGTCCATGCAGAGCCCGACGTGGGGCTTGAACTCACAATGCTGGGATCATGACCTGAGCCAAAATCAAAAGTTGGACGCTCAACCAACTGAGCCACCCACATACCCCAGAGGGAAATCATTCTTAAAGAAGGAAAGGCAGGTGTTATGACAGCATCACATCAAATCCAGAATCTAAGTAAAGAGAAATTGCTCAAAAGAAGAACCAAATGGAAATTCTAGAGCTGGAATTGGAACTGAAATGAAAAGGGTAATCAGTAGAGCGTCTTGACAGTAGGTCTGAACTGGCTGCAGAAAGAGCTGACGTTCTTGCAAACAGATCGATCGTGATCATGTAATCTGAAGACTAGAGAGAACCAGGAAGGCGGAAAATGAGCAGAGCCTCGGAGTGGACCAGAATGCTCATAAGGGGGCAGAAAGCGTATTCAAAGAAATAATGGTGGAAAAAATTCCAATTATGGTGAAAAGCAGTATTGTACCTGTTCAAGAAGCTCTGTGAACTCGAATCAAGGTAAGCACAAAGAGACCCGTCTCAGAATGATTGTAGTAAAAATTCTAAAAGAGAAACTTTAAAAAAAATGTTTATTTATTGATTGATTGATTGATTTAGAGAAACAGAGAGAGAGAGAGAGAGAGAATCCCAAGCAGGCTCAGCACTGTCAGCCTATAGCCTGACTTGGGGCTCGATCTCACAAACCATGAGATCATCACCTGAGCTGAAATCGAGAGTTGGTCGCTCAACTGACAGAGCCACCGGGGTGCCCTGGGAAACTTTTGAAAGCAGCAAGAGAAAGAAATGAGTCGCTGTGTACAAAGAAGCCCCGTAAGAACATTGGCTGACTGACCTTCAGGAATCACAGAGGCCAGAATGCAGCGGGGGTGACCAGGGCAAAGTTGCTCCTCACGGCCGTGTCCGACTGGGCATCTAACAAACAGGTGTGGTGACAATGGCACAAGGTCCGGGCAGGAGGGACTAGAGCTGTGTAGGGAGCCGTGTGTTTATAAATCCCGCTGGAAATAGTATGAGTCTGAAGTAGATCATGATAAGGTAAGATGTGCCTGGTACACCTAAGAGCAACCTCTAAGAAATGAAACAAAAATATGCAGTGAAAGTGGTATTAAAGATAATTAAGATGTTACTAAAAAATACTTTATGCCAAAAAAGTCATAAAGGAGGAAAAAAGAGATAACAACAAAACGATAGGAGACATGCTTGTTCCAGAAACATGCTTGTAATCCAAGGCACTTGTATATCAAAGCGAATTTCGAGAACCATTGGCTCAGTTGTGATCATGTGACACTTGGCATCACGTCTGACTCGTATTGCAAGACATCACTCGTTTATGAAGCAGACATTTATTAGAAATGTTTGCTCATCTTGTGGAACACTCGCAGAACAAGTTACAATCCAAGGTTTTACTGTGTGTCAGTAATCATGCAACATGTTCAGGCTGGACGTAAAAACAAGATCTGCTCTGCCGTGTCTACATCAGACACTTGAGATTCAAAGGTGCAAACAGCTTGAAAGTAAAAGGATGGGGGGTACATGTTCTGAAAATAGAAAACTTACAAATTGGGAGTGACCGTGCTAGTATCAGACTAAAAATAGACTTTAAAACCCGAAGCTCATGGAAGTAAAGAGGGATATTTGATCATGAGAAAAGTGTCGGTCTTTCAAGCATAGATAACAGTGTAAACACATGGGCACCTAACAAGAGTCCAAAATCCATGAAGCAACAAGTGACAATGGAAGGGAGGATTAGGTAACTCAGCGGTGATGGTTAGAGACCTCAGCGCCTCCCTAGTGATGCCAGTGACGCCTACAGTCGCCAGGACGGTGGAGAAATTGGGACCCTCATAACATTGCTGGTCCAAAATGGCGCAGCTGCTTTGGAAAACACCCTGGCTGTCCTTAAATGGTTAAACAGAATTACCATGTGACTCAGCAGTCCCACTTGGAGATATATATTCAAAAGAAATGAAGACATATGCTCAAACAAACCCTGTGCACAAATGCTCACAGAAGCATTATTCATAATAACCAAAAAGTAAGAACAACCCAGATGTTCATCATGTGATGAATGGATAAATAAGATATGTGATACACTCACCCAGTGGCATGTTATTCAGCAGCAAATTGGAGTATTGCCACATGTTACGGCATGGATGGACCTTGAAACCGCTTTGCGAAGAAATCACCACTGGCTGTGAAGCCAGCTGTCACCCACGTGTCATGGGATTACATGCATATGAAGTGTCTAGAGGAGACCAGCCTACAGAGATGAAATCGATTCGTGTTTGCCCAGGACAG